CTTCGAATTACTCGTAAAAAAATTCAAGGGGTACCAATAATTGTGGCCAATGTGTTTTGGAGAAAAACATTTTTTTAATAATGTGATTTCCCCCCACTTTAAATTCTTGTACTTCAATGAAAGGTCCGATTTTTGCCAATGAAAGATCAGAAGGATAAACGATGCAGATTTATTTTTTTACAGCCAGTTTTTTAATCATATTTACCAGGGATGCCATTAATTTTGAGCACGACTGTATAACATGGTATTTCAGGCAACATTTCACTTCTCCCTTCTGAATGATGTACCTCAGGAACAGTAGTAATATAGCTTTTGACGTTCTCCAAGATGTCATTGAGTTCTGTGGAGCTGCTCATCACTGTCTCAGAAGTGTACGTACTGCTCAGGAACATGCAAACGTTCCCTGCCCTGCACAGCAATTCACATTCATTTAGAATACTGATATACACTCACCAGCCACTTTATTAGGTACACCTTGCTAGTACCGGGTTGGAACCCATTTTGCCTTCTGAACTGCCTTAATTCTTCGTGTCAGATTCAACAGGGTACTTGAAACCATACTGACGCTACACCGCTGGGTTTAAACGATGCTCAGTTGGCCCAAAGTGTGGCAAGAAAATATTCCCCACACTTTTACACCACCACCTACAGCATGAACCATTGATACAAGGCAAGATGGAATCATGCTTTCATGTTGTTTACGTCAAATTCTGCCCCTATATCATCTAAACGCAAAGCAGAAATCGAGACCCATCAGACCAGGCAACGGTTTTCAAATCATCCATTGTCCAACTTCAGCTGATCGTCTTGACCATGTCTACATGTCTAAATGCATTGAGTTGCTGCCATGTGATTGGCTGATTAAATATTTGTGTTATCAAGCAGTTAAACAGGTGTCCCATAATAAAGTGGCCGGTGAGTGTATACTAAATAAGATGCATGATAATATACACCAGTTACATTTAAAAAAAAACAATAAGCTTTTGTCTTAAGATCACTAAATGTTAAACTCAAACTGGTGCTCACAGAATTAGTGCAGTTATGATAAATGTGGAGCAGTAAAAGCTTCTTCGCTTGCAGTGGATGTTCGTTTTCTGCTTCTGGTGCATACGGCCCCCGCAGTTACCACAGCAACGACAGCAGGCGAAGAATAGGCCAATTAGAGGCATCAGGACAATGTAGAGGATCCCAATGGCTACACACACCAGGAAACCTACCTCATATAGCAAAACCTTGCCGCAAGTGAAAGAGGTTAGACAGGTTGGTTAGTGTGGGTATTATGACTCAGTAAAGCAGGAAAGATGAGATTGACAAAAAAAAAAAAAAACTCATGCTGATGGGTGTAGATCTGTGCTCATGTGCTCTGCTCAAGTGTGTACCCAAAACATGTCTGATGGTGAGATCAAATCAGCCACCGAAACTGGCAAATAGTGAGTGTTTACACAACAAAATAGAGTTGTTGGCGTCATTTACTTATGCTAAAAAAAAATCCTAAGAAACCTGTCCCAGTAGTACTCACATATTTAAACAGATTTACTGAGAATTTATTATAATAAGCCGAAGACTAACAAGTAACACAATTTGATCTCACTTCAACAAACAGAATATGTGATATAAAAAAATATGTTGTAGGTATTACATCCTGAACAAGGGCTTCTCTCACCAGGGTTAGTTATTAGTTATGTGGTATGATCACTTTTAATAAAAAGAAAGCCCAGAAGTAGATTTTCTTCTACATAGGTCATTTTAAATATCTATTGCATAAATAGGACTAAGGTGTTATTTATGAATTCTATTACATACCTCTTTAATCATATCCGTTTGTGTGGTTCCACTGCCTTTTACCAATCCAACCACCAGATCTACAGGGGAAAAAAAAAGTCAAATCATTGTACATTTATTTTTAAAATTCATTTACACATAATCAGTGTTCCAGCATTTTGATTACGCTTTGAGAGTCTCAGAGGCCAACAGTGATTAAGTGACCATTGTCAAAGGTCTAGCTCTCTACTATATAACATTAACATAATTGTGCATATTTAGTCCCACAATTTCTTTTTTTTTTTTAATAGCTATTGATGTCAGGTATTATAATAAAATACTTAACTTGAGCCAAAGTAGAAAATTAGACTCGACACAATCAGACTCTATTTACGAGTGATGATGAATAGACATTTGTCATTGTAACATGAACTTTCAACAAGGTTTCTATGGAGTAAAATTTCATTCAACAGCATTTCTATGAAGTAATGCTTCATTCTATTGTTGGCAAGGGATGTAGTAGAGCGTGTTTGATCTTATAATTATAGATCAAAGCGACATTGTTAACATTACATTTTATGAAAAGTTTGGAACTTTATGAGGTCATGCAATATAAAAAGTAATTTTCTTTCAGCATAAAATGAGTTTGCAGGTAATAATTAACCTAAAAGTGTTGTGATCCAGAGTGTAACTATATTCTACTTGAAATGTACACAACAATAACATATTTTTGAGGTAAACAAAGCATTTGGAATGGGGAAGGGTGTTGATTCAAATGTCGTGGACATTTGCATGGTTATTTGCACAGTGGTTTTTGTTTCTGACAATTAACGGAGTACATTTATCCCACCTGAATGAGCACAATCTAACCATGTGCGTCAAAGCCAGCCAATAAACCTCCTCTAATGAGTCTAATACAGCCATTACACTCTCAGAAGAGCAAGTCTGATTCATCTGTGCCACACATAGCATCTTTTTTGCATATAGGTCAACTTTTTTTAAGACAGATTACTCAACATAAAAAAAAAAAAAAAAACATTGGCTGTTTGTACTGAATACGCCTTTGTCAAACACGTAGATCAAAAGTACATTACATGAACTTACCTTTAGGGAATGGCTTGGGCTGGACAGAACCCAGGAATGAATTCACAATTGGAGACATAAAGGCACTGTTGAAGGTCAGCTGGGAAGGTTTCACATTTGGATTTTGTAGCTCTGTGCTTATCGTCTCTACAGGACATGATGGTTGTCCGCTTACAAATGTGCAGAGAAACAGCAAAAGGCTACTCCAAAAACCTCCTTTCATTCTGAACCTCATGGTTTCAGTCACTAGTCAGTGAGTTTTTAGGTCATCGATTCTTATGGGCATCAGACATCACCTGTGAGATGATAAAGGTCAATTGGTAATTAGTCTATTCATTAAAAGCTTCTTAACAAGCCAGTCATTATAAGCATGACCATTGTCTTAATTACAGAAATAATTGTCAAAATTAGAGAAAGATGAACGGCAAAGTCTGCCAGCTGTACTTACATCCTACAACACATCCTCCTTGCTAAAGTATAAAACAAAAACATTGTCAGGAATATAAATGCTCTGTAGGCAGCACAGAATTATTTTTATATAAATACAATAACGTTCAAACTCGTTTGTTGTATAATTTCTTACATATTAATTCAAACAGAAGCAGAACTCACTCTTTCACTCTCACCAATTTAGGTAAAACGGACAAGTGCAACTGAACTGAAACTCAACTGTTTACCTAAAAACAGTTAACTGAGACCTAAGCAACGAGAGAGGAAGCTAGAGAGGGACAGAGAGAACTTGTATTGTTGTAACTTGTATACAAAAGCTTTTAGAAGAGTACCTGTTTTACCTTTATAGTCCAGCTATTGTTGAGTGTGTTCCTCTTAGTTCAGTTTAAATGAGTCTGTAGATCCAATGTCTTTATCCTTCTGAGAGAAACCTGATGTCAACACTGAAGTTTAACTGCATTGAGTGAAGCAGTAAATTAATGAAAGACTCACTAAAATGGGAGGGACCGAGCGAGCGCGAGAGAGAGAGAGAGAGAGAGAGAGAGAGAGAGAGAGAGAGAGAGAGAGAGAGAGAGAGAGAGAGAGAGAGAGAGAGAGAGATGGCGGTGGTTGGACTCTGAGTATTGAAAGACTGGTCAGTTTTCAGAAAGTTTTTTTTTTTTATCCAAAACTGTTTGTTGTAGTTAATTTTCTTCCAAAAGTAGTGATCAAAGACAAAATTTTTAACGTCCAAGATGACAAAAAAAGTGTAATATGATATCATATTTAATATATTATATATATATATATATAATATGAAATTAATATTTTAAATAGTATAAATTCAAGTACTTTGAATAATTATATTTCAACCTTTTAATTATTATTTTTGTATCTATTTCTAGACAGTTACACAGACATGTTTTACTTAAAGGCATAGTTCACCAAAAAAAAAGAAAATTCTGTCATCATTTACTCACCCTCATGTTGTCTCAAACACTTAATACTTACCTCTGTGGAACAAAAAATATATTTTGAAGAATATTGGTAACCAAAGATTTCTGGTGACCATTGAAAGACAAGCCTTACACATTTCAAATGTTTAATTCCCATGTTCCTGTTTGTAATTATTCAATGGACAAAAACATTTGTGTGAAGAGACTTTTTTTTCCTTATAGTTCCCGTTGCACTACAGGTGAAGTAATTCAACTTAAAAGGTGAAACTAATATATTTACATTCTGAGATATTTCAATCCTTTATTTGTTATAACTTTGATAATTCTGGCATACACCTTATGAAAACACCCTATTCAAAATTAGATTATTACATGGAATCAATAAAAAAAGGATTTTAAATACAGAATGTCAGCCCTCTAAAAAGTATACTAATGCACATGTACTTAGTACTTGGTTTAGGCCCCTTTTGCATGAATTACTTCCTCAATGCGGTAATATCAGCATAAATATTCTATTCTACATTTCTTTTGAGTTTCATCTGTATTTCTGCAAAAAGTATAGGACAGTTCCTGGTGGCCTTTGATCACTACTATGAACAACCAGGTTGGTAAAAAAAAAAAAAGGTCCAACTATAAAGTACAACAAAAACACTTATATCCAGAGCTGTTTGCAGAGGATCTTCTTCGGAACGTAAAGCGTCAATAGCTCTCTATTTGGTGATTCTATTTTGAATGTACTTTTGATGCGAGTTAACCACACACCAGGCATGATAGCTGTGAAAATGTGTTTTATTGGTACCACACATCAATTGTCAATGGGAGACACTAGGCAAAAATATATTTGTAAAACAACCACAAACAAATGGTCTCTGAAAACTCCAGAAAGTGCACACCTGTTTTATAACAGACTTGAGAAATGAAGCAAAATTCGGAAACATTCGTGAAAAATGTACTAAAGATTTGTATGCCATAGATTGGTTACATGTAGCTATAGTTTAGTCTCAGACCATTTGTATGGGTCACTGGAGGCCTTACAATGGAGTGCCCTCTGCTGTTTTAAAAAAAACAATACACTGTAACCACAAGGGGGCTTCTAGGAATTAACGGTCTGGATTTTTTTTCATTATCCAAGGTTTAATAAGAACTCTTACGGATTCATTCAAGAACTTATATATCATCTTAGGTTAATGAAATAACATAAAAAGTAAAATAATGTACAAAGGCAACATCACATACACAGCAACATGTTTCGTTTCGATATATAATGCAATGGCAAAGACTTTAAAAAAATAAATACATTGTACATTGACTTAAAAACTATAATCTACCTTTATAGGTGAAAGGTAGTTGTACCTTTAATGCATCTAGAAACGATTTGAAATGAGCGCTTTACTTTTGTCATATGAATGGGTCAAGGGCACAGACAAGGGTCCTAAAGAAGAGTAAATAGAATCACACTTATACAGAACTTGGCTACAATTTTAAATATACAATCACAAATACACAAACAAAATGATGAAAAAACTAAATCATAATACAAATGTGTAAATTAAAGGATTTTGCTTCTTGGTCTGTAGCATCAGGGAGGAAAAAAAAATAAACAATGGCTGTTATGCTAAAATTAAGTTTTTCACAATTGCTTTGAATGACTGGGTTTATACAAAGGCATTGAGCTTGGTCAGTTCTTTTCAATAGGCTAAAAATCTCCAAGAAACAAAATTTCCATAGCTACGGTCTCAGGACAAACTGTGCCATACCAGTCGTTGGACTAACAGTGTAGGATTTAGATCCTGCAAACAATGACTGTTACAGCTGCAATAGCTATTGTCTGACACATGCAGTTCCCAGACGGACATGCTATGATCATGTAATGTCATTTTCAATGAAGATTGAAACAGAAGAAACAGAAAGACAGATAGGTGTAAAGCTTAGAGCAATGTAGCATCTACTTACAATAATATTGATAACAGTAACAATACAAAATTTGTTATTTTACATTTGAGATTGACAGCTTTTTCCAGTTAAAGATTATCCATTTTTTTTGTTTTAATAAGAACAAAATTCATCATAATCGTTTTATTAAGAAAAATAGATCCAAAATACAGTGACAAGAGTGCAAAGGATATTTAGAGTTTTTGTTTGCTTACTTATTTTTTCTCTTTAGAAATCGTTATAAAAAATAAAAAAAGAACAAGAAACCAAACAGAATGCAAACAATTAAAAAAAACAAACAAAACAAAAAAACAAACACTTCTTTGAGTCTGGCATAACGGTCAGGCAAGCTCTCAGTGACCATTTCGGGTATGACCAAACTCAAGAACCTCGATGCTTTACACTTTATTTAGTTTTACTTAAAGGACTTTACGTAGTGGTTCTCAACTCCGGTCCTCAAGCTCCGGAACTGTACAGGTTTTTGTTCCAACCAGGTCCTACAAAACAAATAATTGAGTTTTTAAAAATGGAGTGTTGGGTTTGAATCTGAGGTGCACACAATGGTCATATCACTAAACGGTTAGATAAAAAGTGATCCTTTCCTGTCAAGTGAGCACAACAGAAACGGCCATGCGCGTCAAAGCACGGCACGCACAGAGAGACCCGAGGTTGGAACAATAACCCACAGCCTGATCGCTAAGCCTGATCGAGACACATAAACGGAGGGTGTTGGAAAACGACTCTCAAAAAAACAAAAACAAAAAAGAACCAACAAAACGGCATGTCTGATGGCGGCGGAGGATGAGGAGGGCCAATTTCACGAGGGACCAATTGAGGAATCGTCAACGCAGAAGACTAGGACCGGGTCGTGTCCTCGAGCCTTTCGCTAGCCCCTAATGCTTCTACTGTGATGACTGTGAGGTGGGGTTGTCATTTTTGCTCTCCTGGCTGGAGGGAGCTTTGCTGTTCCAGGGGCTGTTGGTGCCAAGGGCGGGGGAACTGTTGAAACTGTCCTCGTCGTCGATGCCATTGGCCGCATCAAACTGTGTGTTCTCCAGCCGCGTGATGAGCCGCTCATCCTCGTCCCCGAACTCCCCTCCCATCAGAGTGGGCTCTCCCACCACCATCACATCCTGCAGGGGACAGGAAGGGGCGCAAACATTATCCCCGCAACCCGGGGGTGCTCCGTAGGGGGACGCGGTGGCTTTCTACACCACATAGCAACTGCAGAAGGCACTGAGGAACAAGACCTCCAGACCTCCACTATCCTGCCCACTAATCAGCAGTGCTGTATGTGAAAAAGGCTACGTTCACCATGCTGAACACTAAATAGCTCTGCCATGGTGGGCATCCCGGATCCTTGAGTGCTGCACGGGTTTCATTCCACCTCGGGTCTCTAGTGTTGGCTGCGTCTCTGGAGCTCAAAACACCCAACAGACTGACAAAAACCACCAAAAAAAACCCCACAGACCTGCGGCCCTAAAGGACCAGGGACTGCCCAGCATTGGATCATGTCCACTTGTCTCTATGTTGGGTCTGTCTTCCTAGTATTATGCATAACTTGAATACAAGCATTGGTCCACCCTCCTCCCCCTACCAATCTCACACAGCTCAAAATGGACATCAAAATGAGATGCTTACAGGTACCTGGCTGGAGAGCGCAAAACTGCTGGCTGGACTTTTCTTTTTACTGTTGCTGTTGTTGTTGTTGCCTCCTCCGGTACTCATCGTGCTGCCGCCGGACATTTTCCGTTTCCTTCGCTTGTTGGGGGCTTGTCTCGCAGGCTCGGCTGGAGAAAGAGCAGAGGACGATATTTGAACCTTGCATGGAATTTCCAGTGGGATGCAGTTATTTATTTATTTTACACGTTCATTTTATTTTTTTCATAGAAATATATTTATTTCAAACAACAAATGTCTTTTAATGGTTTTAGTTTACTTTCAAAACCCGAGCTGTTTGTTTGTCTTTCAGGTGAAAGTTGCTCGATTCGCACCTGGTGGGGCTACCATCCTCTGCCATTTCTGAAACAGACAGGTTTTGAGGCAGTCTCGTGGGCTGAGACTGTAGGTCTTGTGTCTGGACATCAGCTCCTGCATGGGCTCCAGGATTACACAAAGCTGTGGAAGAAGAAAAAGAAGAAGTGAAGCCACTGTAGCTGGAGATGGTTTTTAATTCGAATCTACCGTTCTTTACTTACTCGGAGGTAGTTCAGCGTAGAGTTAGATAAACCACATCTTGTGATGTTTTTAGATAGCTGGTCAAGCATTTGAGGGTCTTGTGCCTGTTGTGGAAAAAATTAGAAAATGAACATAAATAGTAGAGTAGTGTAGGTTTTTGCTTATGCTTTATCAGACAAGCACAAATCTTGATTAAAAAACATTTATTGAAAACTTTTAAACAAAACATGACATATTAAGTAAAAGAAAGACATTCTAGTGTTGAAATGCAGCATGGTATGGGAGACTAAAAATGACAAAGTAAATAAATAAGTGCCATATCTACATCTAAAATCATTACAACTTATAGGGGGGAAAATGGTCCGAATTATAGGTCATTCTTTCACAGGAACTAGATTCTTGTATGGCCGTTACCGGTAGCCAGTAATTATAGTTTATGAAGTTATAAATATGGATATAATTTATTTCTAACAAAAAAACACATACACTACAGAGGCCTTTATTTACCCCCTGGAGCCGTATGGATTACTTTAATGATGGATGCGTTTTTGAATTAAAGGTACCATTCATTCCCATTATAAACCTTGGAAGAGACACAATATTTTTTTTTTTAAATATCTACGTTCGGGTTTGGCTTAAAAAAAAAAAGTCATATACACTAAGGGTGACCTAAAAGGTGAATTAACCCTTTAAAGGCAGATTTTACACAACAGTAATTGTGTGAAATATTATAAGAATTCAAAATTTCTGTTTTCTATTTTAATACATTATTATTATTATTATTATTATTCCTGTGTGATGGCAAAGCGGAATTTTCAGCATCATTACTCATGATTCTTCAGCGATCAATCTAATATGCTGATTTGGTGCTTAATTAAAATGTCTTATTATTATTATTATCATTGCTGTAAACAGTTGTGCTGCTTAGTAAACCATGATACATTTGTAGCAGGATTCTTTGATGAAATATATTTTAGAATTATAAATGTGGCTTTACTGTCAATTTAATGCATCCTTGCTGTATAAAAGTATATATTTTTTTTAAATCATACTGACCCAAAACTTTTTAACAGTAGTGTAAATACTTATTGAAAGAGGGGTTGAGGACAAAAGTATTGTTCTAATAATCTCAATATATTCACTCATTATAAGAACTGTAATGATGTTAATAGAAAACAGCATGAATAATTATCCAAAACTCACATGCATTGCCAGGATGCTTCTTGGCACAACCTCTCTGTGCTGTCTGATGCTGAAGTGCCATGTCTTTATACGCATCATGTCATCGAACATAAACTCCAGGTACAGTCTTCCCTCCACACACACCTGAGGAGATGAAAGTACTTGTCAACTTTGAACGACAATGGTGGCCAACAATCATTCGATGGTTATGTTCTTATAGTAGAGCTTATTTAATGGAAATACATTTATTTCCAATTAAGATCACAACAAGAGTTAATGTAAGCCTTTTCTGACACCACATTCATTTTGAAAAGAAATGAATAGGCAACACATAAAGGCTATTTTTAGGATTTATTTCTGACAATGAACTTTATAAGAAGTGAATTGTGTAATGGTGGTCATACTAAAGGATATTCTTAGTTGGCGTTAAGTTTTAAAACTTAACGCAGAAAACAATTATACCTGTGTGAACATGGGTTTGCCATTCTGTGTAACCATGGTGCACTGATCGCAGTCCAGGGACACAAAGTTATTGTGGAACGACTCCTTGGGATGTTTTAGCACATAGAAAAGTTCAGTGGCCCCTCCCTCAAATATACTCCTGAAGTACCGAGGGATCAATGTCCTACCAATAGCTGAAAACAGGAAAAATTTTGGATTCAGTTACTGGGGAAAAAACAGACTATGAATGGGTTTTCCTTATGTTTACATCTATATTTGATCATTAAAGTGAAATCAAATACAAATAAATTAAAATCACCGAAGTGACATAATAAAACAGAATATTACTATATCTTTTGGGTCCATCTTCCAGACAGAAAGTGATAGTCAGCATTGCATCATCTTCGAAAAACTCTGTAGTGAACGCATCCCACCACAAATTGTCACAATCCTGCTGAGAAAGCACAAAAAACCCACACAACTTTATTTTTTTTAAAAGTTTAAATGGGCAAAACAAGCAACATATACATGTTTCAACTAACTAGTATTTCCTTTCCTGAAATAAGGATTTCAGTTGTCCCCTATTTAAATGTGTACCACGAATGTTGATGAAGTGGTTTCTCTTACCTCTGTCCAATTCTGTAGTCTTTTGTTGAGCTCAAATATTCTGTAGTCTGTTTGATTTCCATACGGTGTGTGCCTCCTGTAACATGGCAAGCATTATTATTATGGAGAAAAGAAATTCTACTAAACTCTGTTCAAAATCACAATTTCTACAAAAATATTAAGCAGCACAACTGTTTTCAACATTGAACATAAAAAAATGTTTCTTGAGCAGCAGATCAGCAAATTAGAATTATTTCTATATCATGTGAAGCTGAATACGGGATTAATGGCTGTTGCCATGAACAGCAATATTAACTGCCAAATAAGTGCTTACCCTATTCCAGGTTCCATGTAAGAGGGGGGATACATCGGTGTCGGACTGAAATTTAAAGAACATTAGTCAAACTTTAATAATAAATTAATTTCATTTGAAATGTACAATCAGTTTAATTGGGATAGATGTCCACTTTTAACTATAAACTAGAAAAAATGGGCGATTACTAGACACGCATGTAGTTTTCACCATGTAAAACAACAATCACAACATGAGTCTCACCCCACATCTCTATCCAGCATTGCACCTGGGTGAAATGGAGGGAAGGCACTGCCGTTGGGAGGCTCCTTTGGGGAGTACAGCTTGAATGACTTGGACGAACAGCCTATAGAAGTAAACACAAAGACAATGAGAGAGAGAAGAGTCCATTCAAACGTAAAAGAAACAGTACATTTATATATATATATATATGTGTGTGTGTGTGTGTGTGTGTAAATACACAACCCTGAGTTATTCTTGTTCACTGACTAGCAGTTCAGTTAACATGCATGTTGATCTGTGACTAAGGAAATTACATCTTTAAATATTTCATTATTCCTTTAAAATAATAAATATGATGAATATTTTGCTTTTGATAGACTTCCATGATAATTCCCCCACACCCCAATAAGCAAACACCATGTGATCACATGACATTGTGATTATTTCCCTGTAGCTTATTCACAGCCCATCCCCCATCTCGATTTAAGGATTCAGTTAAGTCCAGTTAGTCCTGATATGACAGCAAATTAAAAGCAGAAACCCCAAAACAAGCCACACAAGGACTAATCTAATACAATGGACAATTCAATTAGCAATTAAATGCAAAATTTGCGCAGTGCTTTATGTTTCTTGTCTATTTTATTCACATTATATAATAGCCATACAATGAAATTAGACTGGAATGTAATTACTAGGTCAGGCTGACATCATCACACTTTTTGAATAATAAATTTACATCACTATTTTGGTCGCTCATGACTTCTGAATAAGTAATTATTTTTTAAAACATTTTATGGATATTTTAGCAGCCAATTAAATATTTCAAATTTAGCACAACAAGTCAAGAAACATATTCTTCAATTTAGAGCGTTGCCTGGAAATGGCATATTTACATATCCCTGATATTTACAGGTTTTGCATCAGTCATCAACTGGAAAAAAAAGGCACGTTACACCATCTCTCTAGTCTGATACACCAACCTGTCAATATTGTGGCTCTGGGAGTTTTAGTAATCAGCATAATTTGAATAAACTAAGATATACTATTCACTCTATGCCACCAAGCCTCTTTTGGAAACAGGGGAGCTTATTATATTGCATTTGAGAAATGTAATAATTAGTATAAATATTTCATGTCATTGACAAATACATCACACACACACAGTTTAACTGACACTCACATTGTATTTACCAGAATTAACGTAACGTTTTATAATGCCACTTACAAAGTAATAATGAGTAATTTTTAATCCTAAATATCATTTAAAGCAATTAAGGACTCGTGGTGTTGCACATGATTAAATAAGAAATACTGCATATTTTGTATATTCACACGGATTAATAGTAACGTTAACCCCTTAATTCTCCTCTGCTGTTGGTGAACATTTATGCTAAGCTAGTTATAAGGTGAAACGTTAGCCATACTACTGAAAACATTACACACTAAAGTGCATTGAACTACGCTTAAAAGATGTTGCTGTTATTTCAAACAATTATCACTGGTGTTTCTGTAGCAACTTATTCCAAGCAAGTCACGGCATTTGTCTAGTACAACGACTAACTTGGTAGCCTAGCTTAGCCAGGCCTGGCCCCGAGTCCGAGCACAGGCGAGGCCCTGCACAGGTTAGCCGATTATCCGAACAGCGTAAACGGCATCACCATGGCGACGCAATTCAAAGCATTTATTTCGGCGCTTACAAGCTTTAAAACTAAACGTTGCTATGTATTTACGTTGCAATGAAGCTCAAGCACACCTGCAGCAATCCAAGCAGGAATTCGACGCTCTCTCTCCCCGGTACTCCCTGATTATAATCCCGGTCTGTCGGTCGCTGTTTTTAAAGCGAGGTGAGCTGAAACATCAGCCCCTTCAAACCATCGTGGTGTGCAAAAAAGCAGGTACAAAATGCAGTTGCATCGCTGGTAGTTGTAGACTGTGTTAGACAAGAACCAGACTCACGGGATAACGAGGAAAAGTGCCCGTGCAACCCTTTGTTCTTGATCATGAACAATGGTAAAGGCCCTTCTTTCTCTCCGTGCAACCCCCCTCAGCACTCCCTGCTCTGGTGGAGCATCAACCCCTCGCAATCCCATCCCATCAAACCTACCCCTCCCCCAAACACAAGCTACTGCCTGTAACAGTAGGCTACACGTCGAAAGCCTACTGTAAATGTGGTCAAAAGACAAACAAGACCATCGAATAAAACTCTAGTTGGATAAACTTTGAAAATTCGTAACGGGACTTGAATGAGAGCAGAGAGGATGTTGTGTGTTTACACCGGTCTACTCATCTTCTGAAGACCCTGCCAAAAATATTTTTTTGAGTTAGTTTATTCTGCTTAATTTAATTGGCAACTTGATGTAAAAACAACTGAAAACAACTGAATCTATATTTAATTATAATTGTTATATTTAGGCTATATTTTAAATAGGCTGTCTTAATTTCATGATTAAAATTTCATTCTGAAGTCACTTGGATGTTTCAACGCTGTAAAAAAATATTTTCATGATTTGTAATCAAAACATTTTTTCTTTTGTCAAATCAACTTAGATAATTTATGTAGTTCAGAACATAATATTTTGAGTTTCTGGTGATTAAATTAATCTCCTTCATTGTATTAACTCAATTTTTCCATTTCAATTAACTTAAAATTAAGGCAACCAGGTTACTTAATTTTTTAAGCTAAACCAACATTTTTTTTACAGTGAACAACATGCAAAGCTGTGAATTTGTCAATAAAACCCATTGCCAGAATATTTAAGGTTTAACTGATTTGCTACTGATGTGGAATTGTTTACATAAATAAATACTTTTAAACAAGTTGTTCCAAACCAGCATTTCTTTTTTCTGCTAAACACAAAAGATATTTTGAAGAATGAGTAATCAAACTGTTGATTGGCCCCATAATTGACTTCCAAAGTATTTTTCTTCCATATGGAAATCAATGGGGTCCATCAACTGTTTGGTTACTCATGTTCATTAAAAAAAAAAAAAAAAAAAAATGTGTTCAGCAGAAGAAGAAAAAAATCATACAGGTAAATGTAAATGATGACAGAATATTAATTTACAGGTAAACCTATCCCCTTAATTCAGGGCTGGTAACTAGCTGAAAGGGTGCTGGCTCAGTCCTACTTGTAAAGATCCAGTTACAACCATTATAAAAAATAATTCAAAATTAAAGGCAGGAGTTGCGAAAACCAATGCTGTCAAGTGTTCAAAGGCAATAAATCAATATTTTATTGCCTTTTATTCAAAGGCAATAAAAACAAATCTATCATGCTGAACTCTTTCCTTGTGATATCATCGCCTTAATACAAATTTCACAGATTGTTATGTTTATGTTTTGTCATCAAGAAGAAAAAAAGGTTTTAAAATATCATTACACACTAAATCAATCCCATATGGTTTATTTATTTATTTTTTTTTATTTTTTTTTTGTCCTAATTGAAAAGTATGTCACAAGGATCAAAATGCCAGTTTAAATAGAATTAAATAAAATTAAATAAACTCCTGGTCAAAGTTTAATCACACTGATGTTATTTCAAAATAATATATCTTTGAAGAATGTTTCGTTGTATGGACAAAAAAAAATTAAACTTGTTTTCTCTACTAAATATCGTATTTTATGTTCTACGAATAAAAAGAAAGTCATACAATTTTGGAACAACATGATGGTGAGTTTTTTTGGCTTTGGTTTAACTGTCTCTTTGGCTGTGGTGGGTCATATCCATAGGTCAAATCAGCATAACAAATTCATAATGAATTGCTGTGGGTCACATGTGGCACGTGTTATGGTTCAGTTTTTTTTTTTACAGTCTATGGTTCAGACCCATCCACTTCCTGCAGACAGAACAACATCGCAACCTAGTGTCACGAACTTGCATAAACTCCATAATTACTAATTCACTGAACTGCAGCACAAATTGAGCGAGGAAGATATGATATGAGATATGATATGAGAAGATATGAGCCATTATCACAATAACACGCGAGTGTTAAGGGAACCATATAAATTAGCTTGTTATTTGTATGACAGGTAGCCTACCTCAACATTGGTGTATTTTAAAAGTCTGAAGACTAAGCAGCTTGGATATATGGCACATTGACGATATGCTAACGATAATAGCTAAACTTCCACTGGGGGCTCTTGGTGAATTCATTTATGAAGCTTTATGAACGTCCTTCATGTGCAGCAGTGGAGCTGTTCTCATTTTCATGGTTTGAATGAAGGATTGCCTCTGTGGAGAAAACTCCATCCTTCACTGCCATGGCTGACAAAATCTCTCTCCCTGATGAGGCCTCTGCTTCCCTCACAGTGCTCCAGGGGCTCTTTGTTATGCCACTGCCTCATCTCTCCCAAACACAAGCACAGGGAGAGCCATGTGCCTCACGCTCACCCAGGCTGCTCACAGCTACACGGCTGGCAGAGCGCGATAATGCTCTGGCGACAGACGACATATGTGAGGGCCATACTAACTACTGTGGGGGACTGACTGACTGCAGTACAAATCATATCTGTCCTCCACTCAAGGGGAAACATCTCATGATCTGCTGTTCACAAAAGAGAGTCAACACATTTGAATTTTTAATAAAATATGTGTAATCAATTCCCAAATCCAGATTAAGTAATATCCAGATTTACATCACCGCATGTGTGAATATTTTGATTGGGAATCCCACAGTTCCCAACATTTTAGGGAATTTCAAAAATATGATTGAAAATTATTAGAATATGAAAAAGTCTTGAACCTTTCTAAAGTCTTTCTATAGTCAATTGAAATTATATTCTGAAGTGTTGCACGTTTTTTTGTGAGATCTCACACTAATTGTCATCCAGTCATTACAAACAGGAAAAGTCATGGTAAAATCAAAGAAAATATTTGGTGAAAAAAATGAAACCCTCATACTGTACAAGCTGGTATTTTGCCCTAAACATTTTTTTGTTATTAAAAACATTTTTGTACAAAATTACAGGGTTTTTTTTTTTTTTTTAAATTTGTGTATCAAGTTTCATAAGTTATACATAAATTAATTATAAGTTATATTCATTATTAAATATATTGTCATTAACCATAAAGCAGCTGTTCCTAAAATGTTATTTCAAAAGTTATTTTAACTTCTATAAAAACTTTTTTAAAAATCTTACCAACCCCAAATTTTTTAACAAAATAGGTTTGATAGGATTATTATTATTATTATTATTATTGAAAAAGACTTTATTTAATCAATAATACAATGAAAACTGTAATATTGTGAAACTTTGTTCTATTTTTAAGATGTAATTTAGTCATGTGATGGCAAAGCTGAATTTTCTGCATCATTACTCTCACTGTAAAAAAAAATATTGTTTCTTTAACTTAAAAAATTAAGTAACCTGGTTGCCTTAAAATTTTAAGTTGATTGAACTGGAAAAAGTGTGTTAATATAATGAAGGAGATTGATTTAATCATCAGAAACTCAAAATAATAAGTTATTTGAACTAAATAAATTATTTAAGTTGATTTGACAAAAGAAAAAATGTTGTGATAACAAATCTTGAAAATATTTTTTTTACAGCGTGATTCTTCATTTATGATGATCAATGTTGAAATAAACTGTGCTGCTTAATATGTACATGATATTTTTTTCAGTATTATATGAAGAATGGAAATTTCAAAAGAACAGCATTTATTTAGTATAGTAATCTTTTGTAAAAAGTGTCTTTACTCTTTACTGTCATTTTTGATTAATTGAACACATCCTTGCTGAATTATAGTATTACTTTCTTTTAAAACAAAACAATAAAATCTTTCTGACCCTAAATATGACTCGCCTTGACAAAAGCAATGTACACAGTAGTACACATTTTAAAAGTCTGCCTGTGTTCCTACAGATGATGATGCTCTGACCCAGCAGGGATCAAACTGCCTCTTCAGATTTCTTTCTTTTCATCACAAACCACTCATTACCACCATAAAGCCTTACAGACATTTGATTGCCAGAGACAATCAGATGCAATGCTAAGTGAACCCACTGGTGAATTAAATTGACTGGCTTTTTTTGTTGCAAGCATCTCTTTAAGCTGCTAAATCACTTAGAAACATGCGTTATAACACTACTGTGAGAGGAAATACGATGAACGCTCTAACAAATATACAGTGAATGAATATTCTGCCTGCTGCTGCACTGCAGTGGTTTCTGGTTAAAGATGTGGGCAAAGCACTTAACCTTAGGTCACTCCATGGCAACTGAACATGCAATAAATATACTCTGCAAGTCACTTTGGATATAGACCATTTCAAAAGATGTAAACAACACTGGCCCAGAAGCACTTCCTGTTTCAGTTTGTAACCGTTTTCTTTATTTCACATGTAAAGAAAACATCTTAAAGATGTTTGTTTAACTTTTTGATTCAGTTTTAAATGTTCTGTTGGTTGTATTTTATCCCAGCTTTTATGTAGTGTTAAAAAACTGAAACAGGAAGTGCTTCTGGACCAGTGTTGTTTACATCTTGTGAAATGGTCTATACAAGTGCACTTTCATATCCAAAGTGACTTTCAGAGTATATTTTGTCTGATAAATGACTAATAAGTAACTGTGGTGTTTGTTGACTTTGTTGGGAAAGACTATGCTATCAAACATAAGTGTCAGACCTCAAAAGGCAGCAGGAGACATTCTTGATGAGAATACAGAGAAAAATCAATGAGCAGTAAAACACACTGAGGAAAACACATTCGCTGCCATTGGAAATAAATCTGTTCAGGCACTTTAGGTGTTCCCTAAATAAAAAACACACTTCAGGTATAGAGAGAGTGTGAGGGGTCTGTTGTGTTCAGTGTGTTTCTCTTGGCAACAGCAGCCTCATGGACGGGTCATGGAAGTTTATCGACGTCTCAGGAACCACTGAGTTGGAAATCATAGAGAAGCAAACAGCTGATGCTCGTCACTATGAGATACAGTTCTGATTTTTCTTTTCTTACATTTTGTGTCTCACATTAACAATTGCTTATTTATAATTATTTGGGCTCAACTACAGCACTGCTCTTTATTCTGATTACAAAACAAAAAAATTACATTTTTCGTTAATGACTTTTACTGCACCTAAATTACACCAATAGGTGGCGACAGTGACTGCCTGTAATGAATCACAATTTAATCAAGAACAAAACTATTGTGAATTCAGATGCCTAATCACATAATTAATAACTATACTCTTTCTATTTCTATCATATTTTCATATGAAAACATTCATTGTTTCAGTGATTCATTCACTCAACCGATTCGCTTCAGGAAGGAAACGCCACTGTGTGTTGCTGGCTTCGTTTGAAACTATGGAATTTTCAATGGCGGCGAAAACACAGACAAACCAACTGTGTTGTCCTTGATTGAAATGTTGGCTAAGTGACTCAATATTTACTCATTAAACTAGTAGCCTGTATAATAGCAATATCACATGTCAGTACAGTTGTGATTACCTTGCTGCGACCGAATTTAAATACAGTGACCCAGATTAAATAGGTGAGTATAAAATATTATTTTCATATAACTGACTGTTTTTAAGGAGAAACAACACAATAAGCCTACAAACCATTCTTGAAAGTGTCACGTATGATAAAGCTGTCAATAGAATAAAATTATTGTGAATTCTTTAGACAGCATAATGAAACATTAATGATGTCAAATTCTGCAAATTTGGTAAAATGAGACAGTGTAAAAAATTTCCAAAAATACCTTACTTTAAAATGCTGACTTTGAATGCCCTACAATTTAAATAATGTCAAAAATCTGTAAATGAGTTTAAAAAAAAAAAAGATAAATACATTTTCTTTCAAATGTTTTGCAGAATCCCCTTTTGCAGACCGTGGTCCCCCAGAAAGACCCCAGTTTGAAACAATCCTGGAAAAGTAACAGCTCTCATCATTTTGCCGCATGATTTAAGGTATCATTCATTTCCACAGATGCCAAAGTTTAATAATAACAGAGGTACCATAAGCAATAGCAAAAGTAATGCATATCCGACCAAGCATCACTAATAAATCTTCATTCAGTCTGTAAAATCATGTGTCATTTTGTTCAGACAACGATTGATTCTTACAGTGGTGGATTTGTGCAGCTGGCAAATGCCAGTTCTCATCTAATATTTCCTCACCATCATTGACACGTGACATAACGAGTTCTAACATCCCCGTCTAATGCTGACAAGTTGAGGGGAGCTTTTTTTTTCTGCACAGGAAGCCATTTTGTTCTAGCACTGTGTAATGAGACTGATCTGTGAGCCACGGGCTGGAGAGGGGGAGAGGTTGCACAAGCGCACGCTAAAGGCACCGTGCACAGGCATTACCAGTCCAGCAGGGAGATGGTAAACCAGACCAGCTTCTCTTAACTTGACAGGCACACCCAAACCCTGGCTTTCGCCATAGTGCAACTTGAAACAGGCTCGCTTTGTGACCGTTTTAGCTTCGCTTAAAGTCATTTCCATCTAATCAAGGGGCCATGTGACTTTTTTGCATGAGGTAACAGGACACATGCTGATATCGAGTACTTGTAGGTGAGAGGTAGAGAATCGAGTGGCAGAGAGCAGCTGGATGGAGCTTAGTAGCTCACATTTAAAAGCGTCGGTATGGGTTGTTATCTAGCTCAAACAAAGCTATAAAAGAGGCCATTAAAAAAGCGTGCAATCCGTGCTCTGCAATGTATCCGCTAATCCAGGCGGGAGGATCACGGCAGCCCACTGTACGTGCAGCCCACACCAGCATAGGAATGTAAACAAACCAGACTTCAAACGAAACCTGTGTCGAGTGCGCTGTAAGCACAGATTGCATCGTGTTTCTGACAGAGGTGAACATCACAAGCAGGCTTTTATGGTGCTCCTCTGCCTTTTATGAAATGGCGCAGTGGGACCCCACACAAAAGCAAGAAAGAGCCGTCTTTCGCGCTCCAAACCTCCGTTTCAGTCTCGCCCCGTCTCATTCTTTCTTCTCTTCACCCTCTTTCCCGCCTCCCACTTCACAAAAAAAGGAAAGCAATCAGACAGGACACATGTCTGTGGAAATTTCCATGACTACGCTCGTAAAAATGTACCCTTGTGACTTGATTTTAAACAAATGTTATGTGCCAAATTTTGGCTTGTTTATCAATGAGGTTGCCAGAGAGGCTTTTGTGGTTGGCTCTTGTGCTGAGATAAAAATCTGACTTGAGAGCGTCTGAAGAAACTGCTTGCCTTGTGTTTATGGCAACGAAGCAATCTCCACACCGGTCCAAACTTGCCTTGATGCCATTCACCCTGTTTTTAATCTTTATCACAGTGAGGGAGAGGACAAGCGCTATGTTCCTTCTAATTGGGATTATCTTTCCATGATGCAACAGATCTCAAGAACATGGTACTTGGAATTTGAAACTCCTATAGACTGAACATATGGACTCTATTAAAAACGTTTTTTAAGTGATCCAAAGACTATAACTTGTGAAAGAGAAAGACTTGGTCAGAGACATGGGTGCCTTGTGTCTAAATGTGATCTCTCTATTTAGGTGACGGCGCACAGTGGGGTACATACACAGCAAAGTCAACATATGCTACATCACTGCTTCCAGCATGCTTGACCACACTCAAACAAACTGCGTACATTCATTCACAGGTAACCTTCAGATGCTAAGATTCCAAAAGGTAAAGATGGCAAAATAATGCAGCTTTATATCATCAATGTGTCACTCGTAACATTTTTTTCACAAGGTGTATGGTCAAACTAAGCAAGCCTCAAGAAGTTTCATGTTGCCATTGAGTGGACCACACAGTTCTGTTGAATCTGGTTTAGAGATTCCCTATGAGGAGACTTGTTGTTAGATCACCAGCATGGAGCCATGTCTCCAAAAGCATCACTTGACTCTCAGCTAAGGCCAGTCACGGACGGTGCACACATTTTTATAAAGATTTTGTCCCATCTTCTCAGAGTGTGGATTTAGCAACTCCAAAGTCATGGGTTCGATTTAAACTCATCAAATGTATACTTTAAATGCAATTACATTGCTTTGGATACAAGCATGTAAGTATTAATATTTTAAAGATAAATTTTATACATGTATGCATAAATATGAAAATATAAATTAAATACAAATATATATATATATATATATATATATATATATACAAACAATATAAAATATGTTGAATAAAAATTATATAACATTTAAAAAATCTATAAATTCATACATAAATATATATATTTTTTAGGTTTTTTAAAAAAAAAGAGTTTATTGTAATGCATAATACATATAAGTAATAATACAAAAAATACATAGTTATTCAAATAAATATAAATTAAGACTGATTTGTGTATTAAAAAAAACAGTGATTGATGCTTGTGACTAATCTTGCATTTCCTCTTATATAAATTAATTAAGACAGATGTCTCTATTCAACAGTCTCAAGAACAGCTGCCAAAAAGTCAATGCCTTTGATTTCAAACCCCTTCAACATCTGAAAAATGTTTGCAATTCAGATGAATGAATTTGTGTTGGGTGTTTTTTTCTTCCTTTACAGAAACAATCCATATATTATTCCCTGCCATCGGCACAAATGACAAACCAAAGCCTAAAAATGTTTTCAGAACATGATTCATGAAAGAAAAAACAAAGAGAATATGTTTTTCATAACCGTCAGAAGGTTAAACTGCCACAGTGTCCTGCTCAATCAAAAGCGTTTGCTTGCTTTTCTATGCAAAGCACTTTTAGATGCGAGTGAAGGTTGACGTCATATGAGAAAGGAAAGCACCCCGCACAACTATACACACCAGTCAGGGAGACTATTCAAGTCACAGCAATGTCCAGGAAGTCTCTGCTCTAAGATCACATACACATTTCTTGCACAAACTAGCGCATGTCATTGCATGGACAAATAAAACACACAAATGAACTTCAAAAACAAATGTCGCCGTACAGGAATGCTGATTTATGTAATGCTCCTTTAACGTTCAAATAAACAGGCCATACAGTGTAGACTGCAACACATGACCTAAGTGGCTTCACATTGGGGCACAAGAGATGTGAAGTCTTCTAGGTATAGTCCTCTCCCTTTCATTCCCAAAACCCCCATGTTGTTTCGCAACTCCTGCCTGAAGCAGTCCATGCAAAAGAGATGAAATTAGAGCTCTTACCTGGGCAAGCACAACCTCCAACAGACATCTTCTCACATGTTTGGCACTGCTCTTAATGAAATGGTGTTGTTCAGTCCACGCACTGCTAGCATGGGCTTCTTCTGAGAAAGAGAAACAGGCAGAAAGGGGTGGGGAGTCAGTAGGAGGAGGGCACAAAAAAAATCAAAATGTAGAAACAAGAGCTCTGCGAGTAACAGGAAGTAGGAATTACACTCCTGCTCGACACTGCACCCAGGTTCATTAATATGCAAATTGCAATACTTGTGGGAGGGAGAAAATATGAGAGAGAGAGAGACAGAGAGTGTGTGTGACACAGGAGAGGAACAGAGAAGGAGGGAGAGTGGAAGCGAGAGCCAACATTGTCAAAGTGACCTGTGAGGCACATTTTAGAGCACATTGGCCATGTGATGCTGTTCTTTTTTTCTCTCTGTGTATTGCCTATTTTTGCCTTGTGCTGCTAACGGAGATAAACAGAGGCAGCCAGAGCCCAGAGGCACGAAGTCATTACCGCCTAGTGGAGCTACGACACACAGCATAAACACACACATACACACGTACAACCTGCCCTCCTGATGCTCCCAGGGGTCTGCTGCACAGCTCACCCCTGCCAGAGTGAAACACACGTACACACACACACTCTATATGCTGCATGACTGATCTCCCTTCTCTTCATACAGCTGTCCTTCTCCTCTTTGCACGTTCTGTGCATTTTAGTAACCTATGCATAGCTATGCATAATTCTCTATTTGATACCTTCACAGAAACGTACTGTGGGGTATGCACAATATATGAGTATTATTAGACAATATAATAAATGTACTTTAAAAAAATCTGCATTAGTCAATAATGGATATTTAGTAGTTAATGCTCATTTCCCATTTTTCATTTAAATTACCTTTGTTGTTGTTAATACAATATATATAAGTTTTAGTATAGCAAATATCCATATAAACTCTATTAATTGAATATGCATAATAAGCATTTAAACAATTTTATTTTTTGTGTTTTTTTATTTATTTAGGAGATTTTAGTAATAGATAGATTTTAGTAAATTTTTTAGTAAATATAGTAACTGTGATTTATTGGGGAAAATGGGACTGTTAATTGTTACCATATTCATATAGCATGATCTCCCCCTTGAACATCAAGATACTTTTAAGAATACCCTGGTATTCACAATATAAATAAGTATTGTAACTCTTGAGAGTAGTGATAGAATTGTTAGGCAAATTGTACTGTACATAGTATTACCCTTTTCTGTGAATATAGTAGCTGTGATTCACTCTTATTGACAAAAGAATGATTTTGTTAATGGTTACCTTATTCATAATGCATGACATCAACAATCACGATTACTTTTAGGAATAGCATGGTATTTCTATAGTACATGTCAAAACAACAACATAGAAATACCTTGTTTTATACATGTAGCAACTGTCATATATTCTCAACGACAAGAAAAATGGTCCAGTTAATGGCTGAACCATTTTCCAGATTAAAAATTCAGAACGTACCTGGGGTACTGGGACATTGGAGAAAGAACTCTTCAAGGAGCCCGTGTTTAAAACTGACAGCACTCACAGACAACAATAAAAATTTAAAAAGTGATTCACTTTGTAATTAAAAAAGCTCAGCCTTTGTCTTTGTCTCTAACTGCACGGTCCCATCTTCAACCCTCCCGGTTTCAGAGACTCATTGGCTTTCTCATAGTCCCAAAGGACAGACAGAGGTCCCTGTCCACATGGCACCCACTCTGTGTCAGCCCCGCGATCGACCCGACGCCTCCCCCGCTCTGCCCTGCTTCTCCCTTCTCAAAGCCTCTCCCCCCAGTGGGCTGTGCTTCTAACTACGGAATCTCACACACCACTGGTCCTTTACGTCCCCTGTCAAAGCCGCCTGACAACTCCAGAGGGGGGGGGGGGGGAGTGAGCGAGCACTCAGCAACCTCTTGATTTCACAGACTCTCATCCAGCGTATCTAGGGAACAGTGCTCTGTTTTCATCGCACCGCTGTTACATGTCACCTGTCACTCAAAATCAATATGCCGACATTGAGACAACACTCTACATCCCTTACAGACACAAACGACCTGCCAATCAGATACAAAATCAGATGTGCTCTGCAATTATTTACTCTCAAAATGCCTCTGATTATCTCATTTGATTTACTTTCCACAGCCGAGAGGAGCTGCGGTCCAAAACGCAGTGATCGAAGAACAAAGAGAGCCACTCCATGGAGAATAGTCTCACATTGAGGGGTTTCCTTGCGCCGCTGTAGGAAATGGCTTTTTGTTTTCAGAGCCCCAGATTGGCTTTGAAGCGCTGAGCCTCGGGAGATGCTCTTCACCACAGACTGCACAATCAGGTCTCCCTCCCTCCCTCCCTCTCTCTCCTTCATCCTCAGTCACACGCTCACACACTCCAACTCGCGGCTCTGCTAAAAACAAAGATGATCCCTCCTCTGTCTTTCCTCTGACTCCACCATTGTTGAAGCCTAGATGTTTACCTGCATGCGCTGACACTCACTCACCTTCCCTCGCAGTTACAGCGGTGTTCCTGGTTTTGCGGTGCTGTCGAGAAACAAACAGAGGAAGGATCTATAATCAACTCCTGATTCAATTAAGTGCATGAAAAGAATAAAAACAACAACAACAACAAAACCAAGTCGATTTATCACCACTTGAATTAAAAAAAAAACAAATGAATCTAATCAAGTTAACAATGTTCCACATTGTTTGCCTCACCACAATTTACCTCTTCGGGGTCTGAGCTGTTTGTGGTAGTCGAAGCTCTGTATATTGATGATCTGGAGCTGGGTCAATTAGCCCTAAAAAGCATGGACAGAGAGAAAGAGAGAGAGAGCGTAGAGGAGAGCAAAAGGAGGAGGCGGGAGAGAGCGCACTGATCCACTGGAATAAATATGACGCAGAGCTAGAGCAACTTCTCCAGCCCGCTGTACCCAGCGAGGGCACTGTCACCATGGCAACGGCAGAGCAGTGATAGCTCGCCGGGGCACACAAGGCACGGCATTATTCCATCTCTCACTCACTGGAAATACACAGTTCCACTCAGGCGGCGAGCACGTAGGCAGGCGGACGGGCGCCTCATGTTCAATTAACTCTACTCGTTCTGGGCCCCAGGAGCCCAGCCACCTGTGACCTGCGACGAGGACGGACGTCGCTTAATGCAAAGATTATCTGAGAACACACCAAATTGGTCATTAATCAGCATTCGGAGATGGATCCTTACAGACTGTGTTTTAAATGAAAACAAAGAGTTTGGTTAATTATGTTGAATGGAAATAGTTTATATGTGGCATTATCGAATGAGAAATGTGTATTAGCTTGCTAAAAAAGAAAAAAAAACTTGGTTTATTTGTCTTTGCTGGTGTAAACTGGGCTTCCAGACTGGCTAAGCTGATTTTAGATGGATATCAGTTGGTCACCTGGCCCTTATAAAACATCTTAAACCAGCCTAATCTGGTCTTCTCCCAGACTTGTCAGGCCGATCTGTTGACTGGTTTTAAAAGGATATTGATACAGTCTTGCTGAAGAGCAGCTTGACGAGGCTTGGAGACCAGACGATATCATGTTTTTTTTTCAGATGATATATTCATTAGTCTACTACAAAACAAACGTTTTTTTCTGGTCTTAGCTGATTTAAACTGGTCTCCAGCTTGGCTAAGCAGTTTTTATCTGGATTTTGGTCACTTTTCAGCCAGTCAAAATGGGAGACTTGCTGAAAAACAAGTGGAGCAGACTGGGAGACCAATCTAAACCAGATCCAGCTAGTTTAAGTAGGGTTTTTAGCAGTATTGGCAAATGAGAGATTTATTACTGGAATAAATCTAAGCTGGTTTGTTGGTTGTAGCTGGTTTAACAGATCCTCAACCCTTTAGCATATTTAGCTGGATGGTCTCCCTGCTTAACCAGCTAAAAAGTGAAAACCAGCCAATAAAAACTTCTTAAACCAGTCATGTCTGGTTTGCTGGTCTCCCAAACTGGTCTGTTGACTGATTTTAAAAAGATATTGGGCGCTTTTCTGCCCATTCAGGCTGGGTGAAAATTGCCCAAAGCTCCTCTGATACCAGCTAACAGACCTGCCTGACCAATGTGGAAGATGAGCAAACAAGTTTAGCTTGGTTTAAGCAGGCTTTTACAGCAATGTCATTCTTTAATGTGGCTAAAACAGCCCATATTCTTGCATTAAACTTCCACTGCCATTCATGTGAAGACTGAGACATTTGTCAAATTATTTGACTTAAGTTGAAATCAGAAGCAATTTGTTTTTATAGCAATGGAAAACTGAAGTAGTTAGGAAAAATGGTAATATCCAGACAGTCAAAAGATATAATAAGCATGAAATCAAAAGCAATTTGTTTTATTAGCAATGGAAAACTGTAGTAGTTAGGAAAAATGGTCATATTCAGACAGTCAAAAAATATAATAAGCCTTATCTTAATGATCTGTCAAACTGTTTTAAAGAAAATTCCACCAAATGGGCCGAGGAACTGGGTGATCCTTTCACCATAATTTGCTTGCTTAGAAAAATACAGTATGTTTTATAAACAACAGCTCTGGCCAACAAGGATATGAGATTTTTCTTCTGTCTTTTTATGCTTCGAGTAGTGTCCGGTGCTTGCCAAGAGCAAAGCAGAGTAATGAGACAAGATGGAGAGGAACGGAGAGTGCCAAACGACTCCAGTCTCAACCAGTCTCGGCAGAACCATTCTAATGATGCGAGCCGCACAATGGAAGGTGACCCACTTAGTGCCTCTTCCCTCTGTGACTCGCCATCTCCGAAGACAACCTGGCCCAATTTCAACAGTCTGTACACATTGTGTGCAATTATGTGGCTATTTGCTTTAGCATTATGGGTGGGCGGGTGTTTGGTAGAATACAGCTCAAAATGATCTACTGCAGATGTTGTGTCCCCCCATAATAATAAGTGAAAATGTGACTAAAAATGCAGAATTAATGTGTGGAAATGGCAAAGAACTTCTCCTATTGAGGTCAACAAAAGTAATTAGATACAAAGTGAAGTATCTGGATCATGCATAAATCTGAAGGAACTTCATCAGGTGCTTTGGTGTTTGTATCATCTGGCAAGAAAAAAAACAGGATTTCACGCATAATGCTTTCATTGTGCTGACTCCAGCCCTCATTGTGCCAAACAATGCCTACAGTGCAAATGCAAAGCTACTTTAGACACATCTGCCTCTAGCAATAGCAGCATATGCTGGACATTATCTAATAATTTAGTCAGCATGTTTGTATGTAACTCAAAGCAGACAAGAACCTCAGCATGTGCACTTTAGAAGCACTGATGCAAACAATAATTCCACATCTATTGGGGATGATCTGTATGTGAAATATAGACATTTAGAAGATGGAAACTTTCCAAGCAAGTACTACATAAATACCCAAGTAAGTTCACTGAACTGAACACAAAGTCAAATTTTCAGGGTCACTGCCATGGTAAAAAGGAAAACGTCCCGATAGTACTGCATTACTTAGTCCTACGTGCATTAGATGTTTAAACTGTGTCGAGGTATACGTGTAATTAATTAAGGACATTTCAGAAGACTGACTTGATTGTATTCATCACCATTCACCAAGATACATAATTTGATTTCACCGATACAGATCAAAACTGGCAGGCACAATAATACTGAAAAACGCTTAGTTTTTTTCTTTTTTTCTTGTGGAAACTATGAAGATGTATGATCCAAAAGAAATGGAAACAAAAATCTAAATGCACGCAAAGAGTGATGGCCTCACCCTCAAGTTGTTCCAAACCTGAATTTCTGTCTTCTGCTGAACACAAAAGAAGATATTTTGAAGAATCAGTAACCAAACAGTTGATGGACCCCATTGACTTCCTAGTACATATATACAGTATATATATAAAGAAATACTATGGAAGTCAATTTGGCCCATCAACTGAATTATTTGCTGTATTATGAATGTTAAAGTTCATTATTTGCATATGCTTTAAAGATTTGCTGGTTAAACATTTGTCCATCACAGGAATAAATAACATTTTTACTAAATAGAAAACAGTTATTTTAATTTGTATTCATATTGTCACATTTAGTTTTGGGTTTTGTTTCATGTTAATTCTCATAGTCATGTTTCCAGTTTGTCATGTATTTCCATTGCCATCATGAAATTATGTATTTTGCTTCCCTAGTCTTATGTGTCATATTCTTATTGGTTGACTGTTTTGATTGTTCACAGGCGTTTCTGGTTAGTCATTAGTCTTGGTGTATAAATAGCCCTCATGTTTCCATTGTATCTTGTCTAGTTTTGTTTGTGTAAGAGCTGTTGGTGAGTCTCGTGTGTCCGTGTTTCCTTGTCCTTGCTGGCTGCAATAAATTAAATATGTAAATTTAATAAATATTATCAGTGTTTTAATTTGTATTAATATTGTTAAATTCAAGTTTTCTGAATTTGTGTTCCATCACATTTTAAATGTTTGTATTGTGTCTGTGTTCTGGCTTCTCTGTCCCAATATATTGTACAATGCAACTACATTCACATCACGTTAACACAGAGGTTGAGTTACACACACAGGAGACTGCAATTTACTGCAGAAGTTCATTATTTGATGGTGCTTTAAAGCCTTGCCGGTTAAACATTTGACCATGTCTGCCGCCATTCCATCACAGGATTAAATTGAATTTTTATATTGTATAAATATATTAAAATAGAAAAGTTATTTTAATTTGTAATAATATTGTCACGTTGTATTGTAGGAGTCTCATGAAAGCAAGTCAAATTCAAGTTATGTCATGTCGGTGTACTGTATGTAAATTACACTTTTCATTTTTGGGAAACTATTCCTTTACTGTTAATAAAACGATACAAAACAAACAATATCACTCACTGTTCTGAGAACTTTAATAAAGAAAATAATGACAAAGATTTTTATCTTCCTGACTTTGGCCTAAATGTCTGCCATTCTTTTTTATTGTATACGTTGTTACCTTGTAAGGCTTTGTTTTTAAAATAGGGACATTAGTTTGGCTGTAATACTCAAGTCACTTGCAAAATAGTAAAACCAACATGAAAAAGAATTGTGATATTTGTCATATCGCCGATCCCTAATTCCAATAACTCAGAAATATAATATAATATAATATAATATATTATAGGGGCTAAGACTGAGAAGACTCTGGCAAAATGCTTTGTTAAGATGTTGACTACAAAGATTGAGAGAAAATATACTTTTTTTCTCAAAAAACAAAAGTTTAATTTACATTGGTAAAACATAAATATGTCACAAAATGTATAGTCAAATATGTTGTTTACAGAATTATGTTAAGTTATAGATGGACATCTCAAACCAATCAGATTAACTTGACATGGCTTGACTAGATTAACTTGACTTTATCTAAAGCTTAAAGGACAAGTTCGATATTTTATACTTATAGCCCTGTTTTAAGATCGTTTCGGATGAAATAGGACGATTAAGATTGAAGACGCATTAAACTTTAGTTTATAAAGATGTGAAACTCACTGAGAGTTCTGGGGTGTTCACTGATAACCTCACACAAAAATCTCTGAAATAGATGCTTTCCAACAGGTTTTATCGTAGTATTTGTCCAACTCTGAAAAAAACTATGATAAAACCTGTTGGAAAGCATCTATTGCAGAGATTTTTGTGTGAGGTTATCAGTGAACACCCCAAAACACTCAGTGAGTTTCACGTCTTTGTAAACTAAAGTTTAATGCGTTTTAGGAAGGATAGTTCCAGTGCACCTATGCAACCACTGTGGAGGTTGGAGTGGGGGCCAGCAGCATGTGCCCAAATTTCAATCTTAATCGTCCTATTTCATCCGAAACGATCTTAAAACAGGGCTATAAGTATAAAATACCGAACTTGTCCTTTAAAAATGTATGTACAATGTCATTTCATTCAAAGCTATAGGATGATTGTGACTAGCCTTATTTTCCTCCATCTAGTCGATTTCTGTCGTATCAAGTTCTGTGAGAAACTTCTGGCTTTTAGAGATGAGGACATTAATGGCCTCGGTAACCAGGACATCAGGAGGGAGGATCCCTGTGGACTCCACTGAGACTAAAAAGAAAACACAGAAGAACATGTGACATTACCTTTGGTAAATCACCACAAAACAATCCTAATGCAACACTTTTGGTTGCGAACATACATATGAAATGATCCCGCACTCTGCCCAGTTTCACCAAGTTCTTCAAGTCATCATGCCGAAGAACTTCTCTGCTGCATGTGTCCAAACGACTGTTGACAACCTTAGCTATCTTCCTTCCTGAAATGCACTATTGGATAATAATACAACAACAAAAGCACCAAATATCAAGACTACATGTAAATGTAGAGGAACAGCCCTACCGTTCACATTCTCTAGCTCAATAACTCCAGGAGAGAAGCAGCGCTTTAACCTCTCCGCTTGCTCTCCCTCAATGGTCTGTAATAATGTGATTTCAGGAAGGAGTCTGTAGCTTGCGGTGGCCACTGGAGAAAACTTGGCATGATCCTTGCCTGGGAGGTGCAACAAATCTCTCCAGTTAATCACACAATTCATAAACAATATACAGGAATCTAGGGATTGGACACTGGAGTTAGATAATAACTAAACCTTTATTAAAGAAAAATATATATGCCTCCCTGGAAATCAAACATCTTCTTGGCCTCTTATATTACACACCTATTCCTTTGACACAGTGCATGACTATATCAAGTTCATGCCCTGGTCGGAGTTGTGCCAGGAGAATGTCCCCATGCACAGGTCCAATCTTGGCATCTGCAAACACATCGGCTTGATTTCCAACTGGGAGCCATTTTATGTCACCTGAGTACACTGAAACAAAAGACAAGTTTTCAGTGACATGTTGTAAAACAGTGCAGTGATATCTAGAATGTTTGTCATGGTTGGGAATTAATATATTTGTGAAACCCTCATTATTTATTTACACAAACTGTTGTTCCAAAACTGTAGGACTCTTTTTCATGTAAATCCCCTTTTACTTCCATTACATAATTTTTCACATATAAGGAAAGGTGACTGACTGAATCCTGAAGCCTAACATCTTTTGTGTTGCATGTAGAGCTGTACAATTAATGTAAATAAAACAGATTAAATTTCAAAATGGTTTACTGCCATTATCAAAGGCTGCGATTCATGTATATGTGCTGCATGTTTCAGTGTGTTGCACATGCTCATTAACTGTACATGCAAGCAGCTAATGTCATGATCCAGCATTTTCAGCATCTCAGAGCGGCTCGGTTCAGAGTAATGGTGCTCCAAACAAACTCATCTTTGTGTGTGCTCTGAGTTTGGGATAGTTATAACATGCATTTAGGAAGAAAATAACCATCTTCCAAACTTGTAATGAGGAATGCTTATACATCAGCTTTTGCCAACAAAAAAGAAGCTTTATGGGCTCCCTGCGGTTTTCCAGTAAAGTAAAAGCTTAAGTTTTGAAAATGAAGAAATTAAAACAAACATTTATATCAGAATTGTAATTTTACACCTGTACTAAAAAATAACATTTAATAAAATATATTATTGTTTACAATGAAATATTACAATAATATTTCTTTGTTTACCATTTTTATATAGGAAAAATAATTCTTCATATAATAAGTAATTCATAATAACAATTATTATTATTAAAATCAGAAATAAAAAAAAAAGTAAGACCAAACCATACTGATAAGCAAAGCAAATGTGGAGACTTTCATTTGCAATTTTTTTTTAACCCACAAGTTAAATATCATATGGGTTTGGAACAACACATTTAACAAAAATAGAAATGAGTCATAAGTTTAAATTAGTTTTATAGGGCACAAAAAAACGGTCCAGAGAGAGGGCGGATAAAACAAAATGTATATTAAAGAGTAAACCTTGGGAGAAAAAATAAAATGCCTGATTTTGTCATCCAAAAAAATAAATAAATAAATAAACCTCATTTTACTCACCCATGTGATTGAGATACAACTCCTTATGATCTGAAGAGTCTTTGGGGGCTCTAGGATTCCTTGTGCATTTAACCTTCAGCTGAAGTTGAATGGTGTCAATTTCTGTGCCTTCCTGATCCTCTGATAAACACAACACACTCAGCGGTCAAACTACCATCAATTTTGGCATTTGTGCCACCATAACAAAAACATTAATCTTATTAATTGTCACTATTAAATTAAAATGTGTTTCCAGAATTAACTTACCCGGATTCCTATACTCAAAAAGACGAGGATCTGCTTTAATGGGCACAAGACCAAGCCTATGAGATAAAATCTCATCCTGAATTATCGATGTGTTATTGTAAATGAAGACTTTCTCAATGGCCATTGTTGGGACCTACATAGTCAAATGAATGAGGAAGAAAATAAACGCTACAGTTCAAAGAACATGATGAATGCCACCTCCTGATTTAAGTAAAGGTGATGATGGGAATAATACAACATGTACACAAACAGACAATAACATCATTACCTCAGCAAGTAAAATACGGCGAAATGCATTGGCGATGGCCGCGTCAATTCCAATCATATCGAACTCCAACGTGTTTTCATCAAAATTAACTATATCGATCCTGAAGTTCTGGAAGAGTAAAATACACATTTTGCATCAATCACATATTAAACGCCCGATTCAGCGCGATATTCATTATAGTATAAAGGAAATCATATACAATTCACACACCTTTTTGAATTTTTCAAAATCCCATGTGTCATCGTAACCAGGGTAATTTCCTGGATAATCTGTAGTATGGACCTGTAAAACAGTAGTTACATATGTAGTTTACAGAAATACAAGCTATTAAGCATGATCATATAAATAAAATAAACAAAAAAACAGCAGTTTATATACACGAAGAAACCAACATTGCATGTGCAACGTTATCTAATTAATGCATACTTAAACTGAGATTGAAACAGCCTATATCGACATGAACACACAATGAACACTATATGAATTAATAAAAAGCCAGCAGAGTTCATAACTTACATTTCTTACGCCAAATTCACCCAATATTACTCTATCACGAATTTCATCCACGTTGTTCATAGGCGCCGCCATCTTTGCTGTCATTCTCTCTTGTGCCGATAGAGGGAAGAAAACTTCCATTCAAACACCCTATTCGAAAAAAAGTCATTTTATAAATACTTTAACAAAACAATACACACAGCAAATATGAGAAATATATAATAAACCATTAATTGCAAAAATAGACAACAAAATAATATATAGCAAGGAAGGATAGGAAGGATAATTTAAGAAAGGGTTATGCTTTGGTGTTCTTTAAACCCCATCAATATTTCAACAGACTGATTTTTTTTAATTTAACAAACTAAAAAATTTAATTTTAATTTGTTGAATTAACACAAACTGCACAAATTCTACAAGTTGTCTACATGTGCGAATGCGAGATCTACCTAAATGTTTTAGCATTGTCCACTTGGTCGTGTGTGTATTTATTATATTTTATAATATTGTATGTTGGTCATAGACAGTAAAAGGTGTTGATGCAGTTTATTAAAACACATAGTAGATTTCGTTAAAGCTTTTCAAATTAAGTCTGTTTTTTAACACAACAACCGTAAACTTGTATTTTGTAAAGACTTTGTCAGTTGACCCTCAATCTCATAAATCATTGTTTTGGTCTGGATGTGTGAAGTAGATGCGAACTATGAAGGAAAATATAATACTATTTTGTAGTAATAGTTTATAATATATTTGTTTATTTATTTATATATATTTTTAATTGATACATTTATTTATTTTTTCATTTGGGGACTTTTATTCTACCCTCATTAAATGACGTCACTGGAGTATTTTGCGCGCTGCCGCGCTCACCGTGAAGGTGTATGAGGTGCACAAGTGATCTGAAGTGAAACTTATACCTGAAATTAACTTCTTGTGGTTCATCTCGAATGAGTTCTCTCAGCCCCTAAATATAGACCAGGCAGGCGTTTGTAGTAGTTCTCCAGCAGTTGTTTTAGGGGCTTCACTCTTTGCGTGCTCTATGGACGGAACTGTGGACGGAGTTGTAACATTAGTGGAGGAGGAGGGATCCACGCGTGGGGGCTTTCAGACAGACGCTTCCCTCTGCGAAGGGACGAGAGCCAGAGAGCTAATGAACAACATCGTGACGACGAGGTACAATACTAAAGTAGCAAATTAGTCGTTTTTATTATGAAAGTCCTTTAACTTGTATGTAAGCTTTTGTATTATTGCATATAAGAACTACTCACCTATTATAAATATGTTTGTTTTATATGTAAGTTATCTAAATAATATTTGTACGTAGGTTTTCATGTGTATATAAGTGTTTAAATTGCATATTTGAGTAAATACAAACTGTATAATGTGCATTCTTTACATCTAAATGTGTATAACAAATATAATAGTTTATATCTGTGTTTTCTTTGTGTGTTTTGTTTATAGCGTTCCCTGCCTCTTAGGGATTTTTATCCCTATATTCGCTGTGCCCTCTGCAATGGGTTTTTCATTGATGCCACCACCATCACAGAGTGTCTTCACACTTGTAAGTTCACATTTCCTGCAGCTGACCCACCAATGTAGATATCAAAGTTTTTTTGTTCATATAATCCATGACCTACAACACGCCTGTTTATTTAACTTCCGCCCTTTTTCCTCCTTAGTTTGTAAGAGCTGTATTGTCAAGCACTTTTTCTACAGCAACAGGTGTCCTAACTGCTCTATTGTCGTACACCAGACACAGCCACTGTACAGTATCAGGTAAATTTACTCTCATTCATTTCTTTCTTTATTATTTTTCTTGTCAATTTCATCCTTGGTGAACTATGTGTTTAGGGCGTAGTTTTGTTTACCAGTTTTGGTCTGTCGCTAGAGATTTAGTCTAGCTATTATGTTCAGGACAATCCCTTGTGTCTAGTTAGCAATAATAGCCTTACATATGATATGTCTCAGGGCGTTTAGGGATTCGTATTAATCACTGGTCATGTTTTAACATGATTGCCAACCTCAGAGCCAAATTTCATCCCTTTTTCTTTTAGACCTGACCGACAATTACAAGACATTGTTTTTAAGATGGTTCCATATTTGGAAGGAGGTTAGTGAAGTTAGTTTTGAACTCTCTTCTGCTACACATTTGTTGGCCCAGTTTGTCATTGCAGATATGTGTGAGAAACATATTTCAGAAAATAAGTTGTTTGTGTTTTTCCTCTCAAGATGAAAGGTCACGTATATGTGAATTTTATAAACGAAGAGGACTTGACATTCCTAAGCCAGGTTTGTTCAACGCAATCACTTTACTAGTGTATTATTTGAATATAAATTAGAAATATTAAGATTTGAATGTGCTTATGATTCCTTTTTCTATTTTTTTTCCACCTAGTGGCAGCTCCATCTACTTACCCAATGAAGCTGCATCACAGACAGAAGAAAGACATGCTGCCTCAGTCTGTTTTTACTATTCCCTCTGAGCTAGATGTGTCTCTGATGTTGGAGTTTGTGGGGTCAGTAATGTTGATTGTGATTACGCTTATACAAGTGATTTTATTCTGTTTCTAGTGCTTTCAGTCAGTGCATCTTGGTGCATCTCGAGTCTGTCGGAAATGCTGCAACTTAATTGCAAGATTATAGCATGACATGGCAATATTTAAGAACTGGAAAAGAAAGGAGACACTGACCTGTCAAAAGGATGCTAGTTCGAGCTTCACAGATAAAAGAGACTGAGATACTCTCTCTGCCGGGAGTACAGAGAGAGTACGGCCACAACATCACCTCCATTCAAAATGTTTTACAAACACTCTTCTTGGTCGGGCTTCAGTTTGCAAATGTTGGGAATATTCTCCACGACAGAGCAAATTGCAACCCATGTCTCCATATCCGCGGCCGTTTTCGATTTCAACAATCTTAAACTCGGCCCTTAACGTCTGCGTCACAGCTCTCAGCCCGCCCTCTGTTCATTTGATTGGGTCGGATGTTTTCAGTTCGGAGGAAATCGAAGAGACATGTTGCTGTCTCAGACTGAGGCGAAATTAAATGGAGCTGAAGTATGAAGTCTGACGTCAGGCTAGTAAATTCTCGGACTAAATCTAAAATATCTTAAACTGTGTTCCGAAGATGAACGGAGGTCTTATGGGCTTGGAACGATATGAGGGTGAGGGAGAATTTTTGGGTGAACTAACCCTTTAAGAAAGTAAAAGATTGGTTTCATTTAAAATTGCCTGAATGCCATGTAGGTTATGTTCACTAGATGGAGCTAAACTGTTTAAAATCAAAAGAGACTGTAAAACAGCAGTTCTCAACCTTTTTGACTCCAAGGCCCCCTACTGTCCAACATAATATTCAAAGTATATTGGCTAAGATATTTTCTCGGGTATTTCTGATATTTATAGTTGTTTTCAAGGTTTTTTTATTAACAGAAACTGAGAATATTGATGTATAAATTAATTAATAGGGATTCATTTTGTGATTCCAGAATATTCTGTATGATCTTCAATAAAAACAATAGTTATTCTCAACTCCATGGTTGAGAGGCCATGTGTTTTTTTTATTTTCCTTGATTAAAAATGAACTGATTTTGCACAATTGTAAATGCTATATGATGTATTATTTATAAATTATAATTTATCTTATTACACAAACACAAATGTGATTTGCAAATGTTTCAGCTAACATTTTTTTGTGCATATCTTTGATTTATAGAGCTGAAGAGGGTGTTGAGAACTATAAGGTAATATTCAAAATTTTTCAATTCTATTTTTGCTTCTAAAAAGAGTGGCACATTACTGGGATTTTTGTGGTGATGTTTTTCCTGTATCCACATGAGATAATGCATCTTATATTAAAATATTATTTGTTCTTATAAAATGTAAACAGATGAATCATTCATCATTGCATAGAATTGGTCTGAAATTGTTGAAGGTCTTGCTGAATTTTTCATGATTATATTTTCACCCTCAAGCCTCTTGAGAGGAAGTACGTGCGTGTGTCAGGGGAAGCCACTGTCCGTCACGTGGAGCTTTTTATCAGGAGGAAGATGGAGCTGAGTCAAAACTGCAAGGTTGAACAGCTATTTTTTTCCCTTTATATTTAATCTCGCTCATAGATTTTGAATGCAATGTATTTTTTTAATTATTAACCATACTCTGTATCAGGGTAAAGTCTTGTTCTTAAACAGCTTTCTTTTCATTAAATCCTGCCTCAGACAGTCTGCAATGTCAGAGGTCTGAAAGATATATGGGGTGAACATATATCATATATCCCCCCCAGCTGTGCCAGTCACTCAATCATTCATACTGACTGGATGGGAACTACCCTTCACACTGAGTAAAGCTATGCAGAGTCATTTAATGCAAAAATTTCATTTTTTGCCTCCTTGCCTGACTAAATTCAGCAAAATGTTTGCTTGCCGTCTTTAGGGTTTCTACCATAGGTCATCGTATGAAAGTGTGGTTAAAGAAATTATGTTATTAGGGTGTTCCTTTTCACTCTTAACACTTCAGTGACTCTGTCACACTTAACAATCCTGCCACATTGTTGTTTAATTACTTTTCTTCTAATCCCAATTCTGGATAAGGATTTGAGTCCTTGAAAAGAACCACAGCTCAGTCAAGCATAGAAATGAGTGTCTGCCGTTGTGAATAACAGTGTTTCTGTTTGAAAAGAAAATCTAGAGCCGTGTTTTCATTATTCAGCTGCCACTTCTGCAGACTGACAGAGCTGTCTCCAGTTTGAGATCCATATATTTCAACGTTAACACTATTTTACAGTGTCCTTGTTATAAGTTACTTACTATGATAATAACAGGAAATTATGGCAACTAACCCTAAACCAAACAATAGTAAATACATGTTTTGTTTTATTTTTTTTATTTTTAACATGTATTAATTAATTGTATGGTTTACAGTGCATCCCAAATAGTAGATTTATTACAGATCAAACAATACACAAGTTTTAATATTCAAATTATTGTGCTATTATAAAATTATAAGTTTTCCATTTCTGCTATTAAATGCTGCTCTGCTCACAAAGTCAGTTCTGAAAAAGGGATACGTTGAAGTTTTATTTTTTGGTAATAAACATTAATTGCAATACATGCAGCAGTTGTTAGTGAAGGCTGCTTGCATGTTGCAAGGCTAATAGTTGTATCTGGATTACTGGCTTAAGGTTTTTTCCTGGCTAAATCTGATCTGGCCCGGCGTTGAACACCTCATAGTGCCAGGGATAGAGGTGAAAGAGGAAACAAGTGTTTTTGCTCCAGGACAGCCTGCTATGCTCTGCTCCACATATTAGACTCTAAAAATTGTCTAATCATTTTGGGGGTAGACTGAGGCTGTGTTGTATACACTATACATATGGTGAATTGAAGTTCATTTCCATCTGGCATTTTAGGGTCACTGAAAAAAAAAAACACTGTAGAGGAGAGGTGTGCTATTCTCCAAATTGATCAGATTTAAAGCATTTGCATTGTGGTTTATTTGGCAGGTTGATGTTGTGTGTGGTGATCATCTTCTTAAGCAATACCAGTCCTTGAGAGACATTTGTAACACCATGGGACAAAATGCATTACAGGTGAGTTTCTGATATAGCATACCTTTTTCATATTTTTGCTTTTTGTGCTATTTTTGCCTATGAGTGCATACAATTAAATGTGGATAATGAAATATGGCCTAGACATACCATAGGCTCCTGGGATTTGCTCAAGTCTGTAGCGGTTTCACTGAGATGTTTTTAGAGAGATTGAGCCTGAAGTAAGCTGTTAATAAGTGTGAACTACAGGCGCCTTACACAGTTCCTGTCTTGCTCTTCACACAGAATTACATTAGAGCCTTACCTGCAGCTTGAAGTGCTGCTGCCTCTCAGAAAAGCATTTTACAGTAAACTGTTTTTGAAAACTGTATTTTTAGCAGTTTCAGTTGAATTAAGGATTTGTTTTTATCTTAGGAAATAAAAACACTTTTTTTGATACAGGAAACTTAAAATGTGTGGCTATCTCTTGCTTAGTTTTGTATGTGTTGTAGAGGTGTCATTAACAGTCATAAATACTTTACACTTTCCATTGTGAATTAACATTCATCAAAAATATAGTACAAATTTTTATATTTAAAAATATATTGTTGAAATTTAAAACACCGACTTTCTATTTTAATATATTTGAAAATTTAATAGAGTGGTGCAGGTCTGACGTGACTTTGTAGGCCAATCGGCAGTTAGTATCGTACTGGTTCCCTCAACAAAACCCCCACAGGGTTTTCCCATAAGTTTTCGGATTAGCTGCAAAAACAAGCTCTGTAAACAACAAAAGTTTATGATACTTCCTCATTTTTTCCATCGAGATAACCATCACAGATAAACACCAGTTTTATGAATTTTGAAGCCTAAATGTAGTCGCCAGAAGTAGAAAGCTAAAGGTAGGTTACAAATGAACTGCACCATAGTCCCACAACTTCAATGTCACTATCACTGAGCTTCTGACAACTCTTCAGTTTTTTATTTAAAAACATTTTCTCAGAACGTAAGAGTTAGAATAATTCACGAAAGCACAATTATAAGCATAATAAGGCTGTGCAAGTGGACCAGAAGTGCTAAAATGCTAACTCGTGTCTGCGTTTTGGTCTACAAAGTGATGTCACACATACACCACTCTATATGCTGATTTGATGTTTTATCTTGTATTTTACATTTCTTCGTATTGTTTTCCATTTTTTTCTGCTTAATGTTTATGTATATTTTTTTGTATCAATCTAAATGTCTTTACTGGCTTTTTTGATCAATTTAATGCACACTTGTGGAATAAAAATAGCAATTTCTTACGGACTCAAAACATTACTGTATACGTTGTATTCCTTATTACACACATTTCTTATTCTCCCCTTTTAGGATGGCATGCTAGTTCTGCACTTCGGACTCGTTCTGCCTGCTTAGTAAAGAAGGAAGATACAGAAAGACCAACTACTGTGAAAATTGCAATGCACAGTATAGTTTTATTTCAAGGGCTAACCTGAATTTTAACATACAACATTTATCTTGTGCTATGATTCTTTTCAATGAGTCTTCCTGGATGCCCTCTCCTCAAAAAGATTAAGAATATGACGGCATTCTCTCTGCCAAATGCATTAAGAAACATAAGCACTGATGAGTTATTTTCTGTAAATTCTTATTTCCACTGCCCGTAAGGTTTCTGTAGATGTTCTTTTATATGTTTGTTAGGAAAAACAAAGTAATTTTTTACACCTTGACTCAGAGGATGTCATGAATTGACGTGAATGTAATTGCTTGGTTTTTGCATGTCATTTTGTGGTTAAATGTGTTGTGCATTAAAGTAAATTGATACTAAAGTACCTGGACAATACCTAAATTGTTAGAAGTATTTCTTTGCAAGAATGTTTTGTTTATTTCTGGTTGTTCTTTTTTCTTTGTTAATATCATATGGAAATCTTTTTGTATTTGTTTTTAGCCATATTGTGTAATAACATGGAAAAATTACCTTTCAAATGTTTTTTCATTTTTGTAATATTAAAATTGAAATCTTTGTTGTTTTTAAAACGGCTTCACAACTGAATGTTAATCTGTGCATGACCACACAAGAACTTAATGCAGATAAATAATATGCAACTAATATGCCCTGATTTTCATTCTGTCATCTTTTTAGTTTTGCAAAATATTTTGACCAATTCTAATTTGTTTTTATTTACACTTAAAACGACATTAGAATATTAACTGTTAGGCTATTAGCCTAACTGTTATGAATCATCTTTCACCTCATGTAATGCTAGTCACCTTTAGGAGATTCTTTGTTGAAACCATTATCAATAAATACTCTGGAGAGTCTCATGGAAGATGCTGCTGAGTGCTCACTAACCCTGTTGAAAATGGTTTCCAAGAGAACTGCCTCAAACAGCCTGCAGGATTTCGGTTCAGACATCAATTTATCACTGTAGTGCTTGTAGGAGTGCAGGTCCAAAACTGTTTTATCTGATATCGCTTTTCTAATGTTATATAACATTAACCATGATTTGATGATCTGATTTAGTGCATCCCTATCTTTTTTTTCCTCACTTGTGTGAATTTTAGATCCAGGGCTGTCTTTGTAATTATAATGGGAATTTACTGACTTTTTTAATAGGACAATGATTCATGAATGCATCTGCCATATTTTTCATTGATTGAGAGTCCTTCCTAACAATGCAAAGCATTGCCGTTTCATGTGGAGGATATAGTCATTTCTTTACATTTTCACTGTTGTGTGTGGAGAGAAAGAATCAATTAGCCTTTAAATAGGACACCAGCTTTCTGCTATTGAACAGGCAAGTAAGCTATTTTAGTACACATGTTGAGTCAATACACATTTTTTAAAATTAAAATACCTTTCTTCAATAAGGATTCTCAAAGAACCAGAGATTTGAATTAACCCATACACCCAGAGGGTCATTTTGGCCCAACGTTTTTTGAACTAGCTCAGAGTTGCTAATTTATCCAAAAATAATATAAAACGCACTTCTAGACATTCTGCAAGCTAATATTAAATAGATTAACAAAAAAATACACAATTTTGCCAACCTGACGTTTGCTGAGAAGACGATTTTGTTTGAAGGGTTTCCAGCTCAACAAAACAGCATGTGGTCAGCCATCTTGTAACTACCAATCTGGCACTTGTGAGTTCAATATTCATCCACTGGGTGTCTCTATGCAGGGACCAGAAGTGGCACTCTAGGCTTTTGAGGTTAAATTCATAGAGGGTTAAATTTGACTTTTTTTTTTTTTTTTTTTTTTTTGGATAGCAGCAATTAACAGAGGCCAAATTTGACCCTGTGGGTTCTCCAGTTAATAGGGGATTATCACGCTGATACGTAGTACTTCCGGATTCTCGGATTCTGTGATCTTTGTGCACTGCCACTTCCGTTGAATCACCGATCTCGCTGGCAAACTGATGAAGGACTACACTAAGGTTATTCCTGGTAAATTTGTCTGATTCACTAAAGTGCCGGCTGCAAACAAACGTGTCTAATCCACGGGAATCCATGAAAACTTAAGTAGGGTTGGCGTTGTTGGTTAGATTTACAAAGTGTAACAGGGTAGTGACATAAATAGCATTTGTCTCAGGTATTGTTGAACTGCGTCGGAAGTGGACATGCACAAAGTTGACGATTTTTCAACCTAGAGGTCCAGCGGGGCTAGCTAAAGGGGCGGGACTTACCAGCTCTGGGTGAACATAACATAACACACTCAGAAATATGGCATGCCCTTTTTTTTTTTTTTTTTTTTTTTTGATGCAAATGTGTGGGTTAGTGACGTCTAAAACCCAGCTGTAGTCCCACCAATCTAAAAAAAAAAAAGTCGTTTTTGTAGAAAAAATTAGTCATTTTAGTAGCCAATGCTTCCTGATTTTTAAAAGACAATATCTCTGCTTACACTAAACTTTCAGCACTGCAACTTTGCAGATACTGCTCATGCCCCAACATTTCACACCATTTAAAATGAAAAAAAAGTGAAATCGCAATCAACCCCCCCTTTAAGCGCTGTAAAGTAACATTCAATGGGACAGAAACAATCAGTGATGTGGAGAGTGATTTATGAATGAAAAGACATAACTGAACAAACATTATAACTACTGACTTTATTGTGGTTAAGGCATTTGTTACAGTTAATTAAGTGGTTTGATCCCTTATTTGTAATATGCCTGCTTTTCAACAAGATATAATTCCAACAATCATAAATAATTGTGCATTTGTCCATAATCGTTTGATCAGTGTTAATGCTGGCTATATCTTGGCCATCCTTCCATACTGAGGCTCATTTTTATAGTCCTAACATCATCAAAAGGACAAAAATACTCTCTGAAACTACAGTTAAGCAACACACAGTAAATATTTTAGGCCTATGTTCTGTAGAGATGGTTTTTGAAACAACATATCAACATAACAATTTCTTAAAGTGTGTTACCAATTACCATAAACAACAAGTGGCAGTTTTCAGCTAATAGCAGTGATTGCTGTGCCAAACACTCAAAATACTGCTGGGAAAATTGCTATGAAAGCTAGATTTAACAACCATAATATTCTAGTTAGAGTTAACATCAACAACCTCACTCTTTTCAGCCTTCTTAATCACAGCGGATTCCTCTGTGTTTTCCTCCCGCTTGGCTGTTGCCTTGGATTTGCCATGTACCTCCTCCTCTTTCTCTTTTTTGGGATTGCGGGTTGAGGTGAAAGCAGAGCGGCTCTGATACCCATAAGTGATGCTGGGTGTGCTTGAGAAAGTCACTCCAGAACTGAAGTGGGTTTCTTCACCCTCCAGTAACTTTCTATGAGGACATCGACAAAGACTCGTCAGTTATTATTCATTTTCATTCTCATGCATCAGTTCTTTCCATGTGCAATAACACTGAATCATTGGTGCTTTACCTGTACGCGGCAATTTCAATGTCTAAAGCCATCTTGACATTCAGAAGGTCCTGATACTCTCTGAGGTGACGGGCCATTTCACTCTTAGTATTTCTAAGGTCAATGTCCAGCTGCCCAATTGTTTCCTGGATAATTGGAATTGAAAAAAAAATACATATTAGCATATTAGCGATATTAGCATTAGGACAAAAATATTGTAATAAAATTACAAACATAAGGAAATGCATTACATGAAACCATCTTGCACTTTTCACATTTACATAACCATCTCACTGTTGAGTATTTAACTTAGCTCAGCACCTAAATTAGACCATCCTGCTTCTAAAAGCTGATTTGAACCTTTATCTTTTGACATTGACTTGCCATCTCGGCACAAAGTTCAGAGACGTTAATCTGATTTACTGTGGCACTTCTTTCACTCTAGAAAGGTCATAGATCACGTCTGGGAAAAACCTCACGTCACTATTGGATAATTTATAAGGCAGAGTATTAACTAAAGATATCTTTCAGGTTTCTGTCAGCAAGTGAGCATGACCTTGCAGAAATCTCCCTTGCAAAATCCTCTTTATCAAGAGACTCCTCTTAGTGGAATTAACCTCGGCCACCTCTTGTGTGCGATTAGTTCAGCACCATGGACAGAGACTGGATAGTTGACATGGTATTTCAAGCAGTTTCAGCCGTCTCATGTGGTATATTTCCTCTCAAACTATTTTAAACAACATTTTTTTTATTGAGCTCCTTACATTTGTCATGAGCTCATAATAATTAAATTACATATTTATATTTTAAACCTTTATGCGTCACACAGCAGGACCATTTAAATGAACTAGTGAAGGCAAAGGGGTTATTAAAAATGGTGCAAAAAAGTCACATCAACTAAAACATAAACTTTCCCTTATTTATAAGAAAATCATGTAAAATCTCAATATTGTGTTTAAAAAAAGTTAATTATGTCAACAAACCTCCAGAAACCATTGAGTTAGTCTACATGACTCGATCACTTATTCAACTATGAGTTAGATTTAAATGTAAAAATAAGTAAAAATACAAAAACTTAAATACATTGTTTGGATATAGATATTATAAAATATAAAATATTCATATAAATATGAAATGTAATATTTACCTGATAACCTGCGACCTCGGCATTGTGCGCATCTTCTATCTCGCGGATCTGCCGCTCAAGAGATTCGTTTGTGCCGCGCAAGGTTTCAATTTCAATGGTTTTGGACTGTAGTTGTCGCCGGTAGTCGTTGATCTCCTCTCTGGTGGCTCTCATGGCCTCGTTGGTTCTAGTGGCTTGTTCATTGAGACTGGTAAACTTTGATTTGTACCATTCCTCGGCAGACTGAAGGTTCTTCGACGCGAGTGTTTCATACTGCCCACGGATCTCTTTGAGGGCCGAGGTCAGATCAGGCTTGGATAGCTCCACTTCCACAGATATCTGGGCTGCCTGGATCATATTAGTCAACTCCACCACCTCTTCATCATGCACCTTCCTCAGAAAATTGATCTCGTCCAGGAGGGACTCGACCTTTCTCTCCAGGTCCACGCGCACCATGGTGGCATCATCCACATCTTTCTTGTAGGATCTGAGCGTCTGCTCTGCCTCCTCGCGCGCTCGCATCTCATCCTCAAACTTCCCTCGAAGTTTCTGCAGTTCTTCCTCGATACAGTCTCGTTCAATGATAATATGTGACTTTTCATTGTTTATCTCGTCCACCTGAGCTCGCAGATCGCGGATCTCCTGCTGATAGAGGTCCGCGAGTCTGGACGGCTCGTTCTGCCTCTGGCGCAGACTCACGAGCTCGGTCTCCAGCACTTTATTGTGCTGCTCCAGATTGCGCACTTTCTCGATAAACATCGCGAAACGGTCATTGAGACCCTGAAGTTGTTCTTTTTCATTGGTTCGGACGATTTTAAACTCGTTGTTTAACACGGATGTTTGAGAGAAATCGACGCTGTCGAAATGGACCGGTGAGAATGAAGATGACCGGCCCGATCTCCTGTAGCCCGCGGGAGAGGCGCTGCTGCGGGATAAAGAGTGAGACCTGAAGCCGCTGGAAGACAAGGAGCTCATTCTAGAGGTGGAACCGGTAAAACGAGGGGTTTCCCCGAACATCTTTCTATAGGAAGAGGACATGTAGTGATCCGATCCGTAACTCATCTTCGTCACAAAGGAGTCTAAAACGGGTGTGCTTGTCATTATATAGCCTACTCGGCGGCGGACTGTCCCATTCAACAGCCCTCATCATGTTCCCTCTGGTGGTGACAGTTAATATGAAAATAAACATTTTTCGAGAGCATTACAACATTAATTTTGTTATGTTTTCAACAGGTTTGACATTTGCACTTAAAAAGAATATTGTCTGGCCATTTAAAACAGTCTTGTGTGTGTGTGTGTGTGTGTGTGTGTGTGTGTGTGTGTGTGTGTGTGTGTCGATGGAACTGTCCAGGTTTGCGCAGTGCTGAATGGACCAGAAATTCAACAGTTAAACACATAATGTTTTGGATGGTCATGCCATTTCAATCTGTGCATTACAAATAAATCACTTCACCCAAACACTGCAGGCTGAAACGACTGTCATTTTGCCCCTATGCGACCTGTATCTGATTTTTTCATGACAGTCTGAACGACACAGGCACCTGTAGCTAGCCAATACACGCTAACGTTAACGCGTTTCTGCACTGTTATGGGCCGCTGCAGACGTGTCTCTTCACGCCCGTTTCACACATACTCCGTTTGCAGTGCGTATGCGGTGAGTGTTGCGGTGCGTATCCGGTACAGGAGCCGCACGCGCTAAAGTGCTTTCACATATGCTGCGTTTGCATTGCGTGAGCTGTACCACAAACACTCGCTATTTTTATTTCAAAATCAGAAGTTATGCAGCAATAGCGTGACCAGTGACCAACAGTCCTGTTATCCCATTCCTTGTTTTCACGTCCTTCCGGCCGTTTTTTATAAAGTGATGTCCTGGTTTTCAAAAAAAAAAAAAAAAAAAAAAAAAAACGCTGGAAAAGATCAGCTTTATAGCAAAATATAGGAGATGAGCAGACAAGGAGGATGAGGAGGAAAAACAGCATAAAGAGGAAGGAAACTAGTTCGTTTTTGTACGTTTGTGAGAGGTATTTTTGTTCAATTTGAAGGTATTTCTTTTAGTTAATTAATATTGATATATTTATTTTTCTAATACAGAAGAGACATTATTTTTTAATCATTATTTCATTCATTATTTTTCATAATAAAACATGTTGAGTATCCTCTGAGAAGGCTATCTGATTTTGTGTCTTAATACAACAATTTTCTATCCACAGAGGGGGCATAGACTATTTTAATTGTATTGAAATTAATAAGGCATCTTTGAGTAAACTTCGAGTATCATTTGTTTTCTGGGCCATGTGTCCTGGTTTTTGGTAATCAAAATATGTTCACCATATGCAGTAACTTTTTTTAAAATAAAAGTTTTGCCATGGCTTTGCGATTCTCTTTTACAAACTTGAATGGACGCATGCTCGTTTAAACACGATTTAAACAACGAATGCATACAATTCCATGCATTACTTGTATATTAAGATGCCTTAAAGTAAAAATATGAAACAATTAAATACCTTTATGGAGAGATTACTACATTTTATTGAATTAAATGCATTTATGGTGAAACTACTACATTTCGAGGTCAATCTGAGTTCATTTTGACCACGAACCGTGCGCTGTCACTTTATTTCTGCGTTTGCAGCACAGCAGAAATAGACTCGGTACGGAAACGATCTCTGCACTGCTGTATACGCACCGCAACTGGAACGGATCGACGGACTGCATCCGCGTGCAGTGTGAAAGCTCTAACCTGTTAACATGGGTACGGAAAAAAATACGGACCGCATACGCACTGCAAACGGAGTATGTGTGAAACGGGCGTCAGAGTTGTGCCTGAACGCGTTCAATGAACGATATACATGAACGCGTTCATATAAGCTACTGTATGATGAACATTACTGTGAACATGTTCATTCTGGTGTCTGTGAACGTGCGCTCTCTGTCAGTTTAACTTCGTACAGTAGGGTGCCAGATTGATAGAGCCTTCCAGGCGAAAACCTGGCGAAAACACATGTATACATGCCTTAAAATGTAGCGAAAAAATACCCAATCTGGCAACACCAGCCACCAGTGTCGCACCGCGGCCGCCGGTGACAAAGCAAGGAGCGCCGAGGACGCGCACTATCCATTAAACGGGTTTTATGACGAGGTCGGTGAGGATCAGAAAAATCTTACATTTATGTGCAAACTTTGCCCGTCGATAAAATAATTGTTGTCTGTGTTATGGGCTGTGGCAATAATAATAATAATAATAAAACAAAAGCTCGCAACAATATGGAAAAAAAAAAACTATTCCGCAAACAACAAGTGACGTCGTTGACCGTTGATTACTCTTCTGCGCATGCGGGTCACTTCTGGGTCATTTCACGTTCACACAGGAGATCACAAAAGGTCGCATTTAATTGGAAATGTGAACGGCCTTGCAAAAAATCGATTTTTTTTTCAAAAAATCGGAATTGAGCATTAAGGCCTGCAGTGTGAACGTAGCCTAAGGCTACTTTTAAGTAGCCGATCACTGTTCTACTCTCTATTAAACTTAATATGGTTTTAGATGGCTTCATGGGAAACCGTCTTGACCATTAAACAGATCAGGCTGGGCAGCTGGGTTACAAATGAAATATTTCAGACGTTTTTACAATTGATTTTAATGAAGAAAAAAAAAACATTAAATGTAAATTGCCCTCAGTCCTCCACCTGCATGAATTCCTTCCCTCCACTGAATAAGGAAGAATGGTTGGTTTACGACGAATGTTAGACAACATTAAATGACACATTTCATAAAATGTTACACCTTTAAATATGTTTTAGGATTAAAATTGTACAAAAAGGTTTTTTTGTGTGTGTGTGTCATTTAGCTCTTGATTCCGGATAATGAATAGACTCTAGCAACACGTCTAAAGTTGACCACCAGTAGATGGCGATATTTCTCTCCAAGCCAATCTTTTCTGTGGTGAGTGTGCACCCAGCGGCAACCTCCCTTAGACAGTAAAATAACTATCTAACTGCGTTACAACGTATTACTGTCAGTTACACTTTACACGCATTAAAATTTTATAAAATACACTTTTGTCTTGCACCTGTCTATACGCCTTTAACGCCCTAACTGGGCAAAGGAGGCCTATGCTTTCCTCCTCATTATGAACAGGTAGGGCAAACAGGGAGATAACCTGGGCCCTGAATGGTGTGTTGAGGGATTTAGGCACATATCCGTGTCTTGGTTTGAGTATGACTTTTGAGTCATTATTAGGCCCAAATAATTGCAGACACGTTGCGCTTATGAGAATGCTAGATCCCTTATATGCATTTTACTGACACAAGAGCCAGAAACACTGTTTTGAAAGACAAGTGTTTTATATCCGACGTCTGGATCGGTTCAAATGGGGCTCCTTTCAGGGCTTCTAGCACCATAAGTCCCACATGGGGATAGAGGGGGGTCAGGGAGGATTCATCCTCTTAGCTCCTTTTAGGAAACAAATGACCAGACCATTTTTCCCCTCATGTGACAGGCCAGACGCAGGTTCTGTAAATGCAGTTATGGCCTCCACATAAACTTTGAGCGTGGATGGGGACCTTCCCTTATCCAGTAGCTATTGAAGGAAGGAAAGTACTTCCGTTACCCCAGTGCTTGTGGGTGGAAAACCTCGGGTTTTGAGGCATAGAGACGCCTGGTACATCGATGACGGAATCAGCGGCGGCCGTCTGTTGACCGTCACTGAGCGAGCTGAGAAGCTGGCGGGCGAACCGGCGAGCAACTGTGCTCGACTGTAGAATCCAATTTTTTGACATGTCAGCATGACAATCAGAAAAAGTCCTGTAATAAATTGTCTCTGCATCAGAGCATGTTGGACCGCACTCGGACACATTTAACCGACATGCATCTCGTTGTGATCACCGGTGATCAGTTCTACGCAGATTTTGCTCATCTCAGACTTAAACAAGCCTATTTTCAACCATGTGTCCATTTTTCAACCAACAAGCCTATTTTCAACCATGTTAAATGTGTCCTGTCAGAATGAAAATTACTGTCCAGTGTCCACCTCTGCTTTTAGATTCAGTATTCGGTTTACATTAGATCATGCAATCTATTATTTGAATGATATCACTTACACACACTACCAACAATGAAGTGTTCATATAAATTGTATTTAAATGAGCTTTTAACATTGTTTTTAAATGCATCATCTGCGCATGCGCAGTTTGTAGATAGCGCAGAGCTGCAGCTGTTGGTGTCGAGAGAGGTAAGTAACGTACTGACTGTGTGCAGAGATATAATGCGTTTCAATAATTAGTAGTTCTGTGATTAAATCGTTGCACACTACTGTGTATATAAGTGTTATAGCGGCATTCGTAAAGCATTTACCTCCCTTTTATACAGTAGTATCCGGTTGATCAAAACTAAAGGAATGTTAGTTAACGTTAGCTAGCTGGTGTGCTAACTTTACCATCACGGAACTCCATGAACAAGAGGAAAGATCTGCTCACATTTATAGCTTAATATTCCTTAGTAAATTTTTACACTGAAGATTTAATATGGTCTTTATTTGGATGAAACGACAAAGGCTTTGAATTCAAAGCTCCTTTGAGTCTTAAATAAATAAATGCATGAGAACCGCTCATTGTCTCTTAGATAAGACAAAAATGCCTATAATGTGCACAATATATTTTTTAATGTATGTCATATTTTATTATTTGTGCGTATTTCATATTACAGCCAAAGATTAATGTAACGTTAGATAATGAAATACCACGACATTCATTTTGGTTTTTGAGGGGAAAAAATCATATTGTAGAATATTGTGTGGTTTCTGCGAAGCTGCCCCTCGGTGTTAAACTTAGAAAATAAAGATTAGTTCAGTTTATTGTGTATTGAAAGAAACATAAAGCTGGCACTTTGCAATGGATTTAAACATTGTTTCAGGCAGCTGTCTGTGGTTATATCTGTTCTTCCTGTTCACGACTGTCTATCTTTTAGACAGGAAATTATGTTACACTGACATTATACATGGAGCATTGAAATAGATTCCATTAACATTTTGAGATTCTGTTAAAAATGTTTCATATCATATCTTATCTGCAGGGCCAGACTGAGCTATTGTGCAACAATTTAATGTGGCAAACATTTAACCCCTGAGATACTAAACAAGTGCAAATTCACATTCATTCTATTGTCAAGTCTGCTTGCATTGCATTATAGTTTATTACTATTATTATTATTCATTAAAAGACCTATAACCATTATTTGCATTTTAGAAAGTGTTGGTATTGTTCTCAGATTTATAACGGTTAAAGATGACGACCTCTTGGAGTGATCGGCTCCAGGATTATGCAGACCTTCCAGCCAACATGGATGGTTTATCCATGAAGAAGTACAGAAGAGAGGTGCATCACAGGTATTAATACATTTCACTTATGCCTTCAGCTTTGAGGCCATTACCAATATATTGGTCAAATCAGATTATGGAGTCTCTTGTTGACTTGAAAACCAATCCATTGTGATACCTAAATTTACTAGTTTCAAGACAAAACAAGTAAATTCAGGCATTTGGTGAAATTACTTTAAATGACCTGCTGGTCTGCCTTCCAGTTTATTATTGGCCATAATGAAGAAAGACAAATTCACATTGAGATATTTTATGCTCACTATTGTTTTAAGTAAAAGAAAAATTGGTGTCCATCCAATATATTTTTAGATTTGTAATTGTGTTTTAATTACAAAAACTAGAATAAAAAAGAGATACACACATGGATAGTAGCATGTTTAACTGTTGCCGTGCCTTTTAGCTGCTTCATGTGCAGACATGTCTGTCTGTCAAATTCTGTCAACTTCATTTTTGAAATGATGTCAGCTTGCGTGTTTTGTAAGAAATGATTTTAAATTGCAAGCTTTTTTCTGAATTAAAAGAATATAGCATTTTCTGGTTGTGCTCACTTATTGAATATTTAAAGAAGTATTACAATTATTTATTTTAAAACAACCATTGTAATATTGTATATGCATGCACATTCCAATACTCATATCTCATATTTTAATAGACTAAATTTAATTATGCCCTTTGGCAGTTTAATCTGTCCTGTCAGCATAATACTGGAAAGTTCCTAAAATACTGTGTTTGTCACGGCAAACAGTTGTTTCTTAAGAGCAATCCTTATTTATATGCAACATTAACATGCAGATTTTTGCAGAAAAAAAAAGACACGTCATGGAAGTCACAAAGTGCAATATTAAAAAAAATCACAATGAATCTAATGGTAAGAAGTCTTGAATTGTCAATATTAGCAATCTGGACACAGTTCATTATGTGGTGGTATTAGCTGGTTTTATTACTGTTATAATATGTAGTCCATGTATTCCTTTATTACAAAGCTTACCACAGGAACTGGCCCACTGTCATCCCTATATGAGGTATGCCAAAGTTTTGTCGTCGACCTGCAGTGCTGATTGATCATCTCTTGTAATTGATGGTTTTTTCACCAATGTACTCATCACAGCACAGCACTAAAACTGTAAGATGAACAAAACCATCAATGCTTTTGCACTGTGCTGTGACTGTATGTAGGTGTCCATGGGAAGACCTGTGATGGGAATTTAATCTGTGAGATCATTCCTTCATTCTCCCTTCCTCTAGCTGTATCTCCCTCCTTCATGCTTTTAACACATAATTTCACATAATTTGTAACGTAACACCTCATTTGTTCCTAGTGTAAATGCAGCTTTATTTTTAATGTTTCACTTCAGATATAGTTGGTTAAAGATGTAGTAGCATCAGGGGAACTAAAATAAAATGAATTGTAGTGCACTGCTTTTAACTCTTTCCCCGCCAAACACGGAATTTTCCGTGTTTAATGAAAAAACGCATCTGCGCCAAACACGGAATTTTCCGGGTATCCGTGTTTTAGGTGGTATACGGTAAGGAAGACCCGCGCGCATGTCCTGAATGATTGCGCAACTCTTTGATCAGAGAAACAGATCGCAATCGTCTCAAACAGTGGAGTAGTGAGAATGTATCAGACAGACAATGCAGAGGTATATGGCTGAAGTACTGGAGGTTAATGGACTCGGAGTCCGATCACTCTTTATTTGATCATTCTGAATCTGATCGGGACGAAGTAGTCAGTGAGAGAGATGCACATGTTCATGCTAGCCATGGACGTGCCGCAAATAGATCGTATAATATTATGACACTATAATATGTATGTGTGTGTGCAGGCATTTATGTGTGGCTGTCTAAATATGAAGGTGTAATTGTCAAATTATTTCTCTCTTTGTGCACATTTACCACATTGTAATATGTATTTGTGTGTGTGTGTGTGTGTGTGTGTCTAGGCCTGTTTATTGTAATTCCAATTATTCATTATTCACAGGTAGAACACAGAGAGGCAGAGGCAGAAGTTTTATTGCAAAAGTTACATTTCCCTTACATCCTGGGAAATTTGATATATTTTACATTTATTTTATGTTTTTAATTTATTTTGGAAAGTTTTATATATGAAGGAAACAACATCTGAATGTATTCTGCTTTTAAATGCACTTGTTTGATAAAAATACCTTTTTCTCAGTTTTTTGTCCAAAATGTTGTGTTTTTGACAAAACCTACCTCTGTTCAAGAGGCAATAAAAAAAGAACAGATGAAGATAAAATAAAAACGTTTTTTTTGCCTAAAAGCAGAGGCTCAGATCTTTATTTTTATATATATCATCTTCATATATTCATGGAAGAAAATATTCAGCGGGGCATTCAAATTTAGCGAAAATCGTCAAAAACCCTGGCGGTGGCTGGCAACTTTTTTTAAAAACGCTGGCGGGGAAAGAGTTAACATAATTTAGAAAACAACTGACAATTGTACCGTTTTAAAATTTGAAAGACAATAACAGATATATTTTATACTTAAAATACAGTATTATTTATCAAGGTGTAAATCTTTTTTTATCTCTTAACATAATGAAATGTAAAAAAGCTTCTCAAATGCAGATATAAGAGCACATATTTTGCAAGTAATTGTGATGAATCATAAATTGGTATTATTCATATATCAGTCTAAAGCTACACTAATGAAATTTATTTTGAAAGAAATTAATACTTTAATTCAGCAAGGCTGCATGAAATGAATAAAATATTTTCAAATAAATGCTGTTATTTCGAACTTTCTGTGAATCAAAAAATGCTCAAATTTATTATGCTTTCCACAAGAGAAATATTAAGCAACACAACTCTTTTAAAAACATTAATCAGAAATGTTTCTTGAGTACCAAATCAGTATATTAGATTGATTCAAAGGATCATGTGACACTTAAGACTGGAGTAATGACTGCTAAAATTTCAGCTTTGCAGAAATAAATTCGATAATAAAATTGAACACAGTTATTTTAAATATTTCAAATTATTACTGTTTTTGCATTATTTTTGATCAAATAAATGCAAATGGAAATATGAGACTTCTTTCATAAGCATAAAAAAAATCCTACCGTCAAACTTTTTAAAAGGTATAGAGTTTATTCCCCAGATGAGTGGTGTCACTGTCATCAAAAAATAAAAAGGAAAACATGTTTTTTCAGGTTTGTAAAACAGATTAAACAGCAGACTATAAGGATGTTTTCTCCTGATTTTATTGTATTTTATTTCATTTGCGATTCTGTTTTTGGTTTGTCATGTTAAAACAGTGGCTAATCACCTGCTAATATCCACCTGGAATACTTGATTTAACTGGAAATCAAGGAATATTACCTTGCCATTTGCTCCACCTCATATTTTGCTGCTGTTGGCTGAACTAGGAATAGATATAAATTAACCATGTGCATAAATTCAGATATATTGCTTTCACAGGTCACACTATGTGAGTGTAAATCAATATCTACACTAACCTAAACTCCCTGAGAGCTGAACAGCTCACAGGTTAGACTCAAGCCAATAGTCTGTTGAATTTAACACTGTTTGCAAATAAGAGAATATTGAATATGCATGGCATTACTCTTAAATTGATTGTATTTTTATGTCCACAGAGTTTTTGTCAATAGAAGTTTGGCAATGGAGAAGATAAAATGCTTTGGCTTTGATATGGACTACACTCTAGCAGGTAAGAAGTACTAGTCTTCTTTCTATGAACTACCTGTGTGACAGATGAGGTCTGCATCATGACTTGTTTTGCAGTCTCATTTGTGTAATCAGTTCAAAAGGATTGCGAAATGGCAGTACCATTGGCTGGTACTGTAAGCTAATCCTTGATCTCATATATTTGGTGGTCTCATGGCTCTGCAAATAGCACCTCTGTGTCTGAGGACACGTGCTTGATTCCTTCCTCTTAAAGCTATAAACATCTTAGATGGATGGATGCACTGACATCCATGACAGACTGATCTCATGAAGTAGCGTGTGTATGACACGCCAATTCGTATTTCCATTTTTGGCGTGCTATCAAGACGCATAATCGCCTTTCAGCGTGTTTATGAACGCCGTTGACTTAACGTTATATAAATATATGACTTACCTCAACTCCGTCCCTAAACCTAACCGTCACTGGGGTTAATGGCATTTATGACTGTTCCCTTACCATCCTAGGTAAAAAAAAGATATGACTTACCTCAACCCCATCCCTAAACTTAACCGTCACTGGGGTTAATGGCATTTATGACTAGAGATTTGACAGCGTGTACAGACACGCGGAATGACGTGGACATTAATGGCGTAGTCATATACGCATACGCGTGGATAGCTCAAAATGCGTAGAGATAACACGCCACCTGACTCGAAAGTGGCGTATACGTTTACGCAAAAGTCATGATGTCATGTTGTCCATGATATGAAATATGGTGCTTTTGATTGGTCAATTTCCTGATGGGTCTGTAATGATAAACAAGTGATAATGTTCACTGGAAAAATGTTTTAAGTTCTTTTCCAGCACGCAGCCTAATATTAACACCAAATGTGAGCTGCTTAGTCTGAAAGATCAATGCGTGTTTGCTGTGTAACTTCCTTCTAATTGCAGTGCAGTGAATTTGCTTAGTATGGCAAATGTTTCAACAGATAAAAAGTGAAGAGAAGTGTTTGTAGCCAGACTTTGATCTAACTTTTGAAGGGGTCACCAAGTAGGTTTTATTGCACAACTATTTTGACTCCATGTTGGTTAGTTTCCAAGTGTCTTTAGTTAAAAGTAGTCTCTGATACTTGGTTGACCAATGAAAGCGTCATGATAGGACAGACAATTTGAGATATTTGTGAAGCTTGACCATAGAGGGTCGACTGTGTTTTATCAATGTTGACATTTACTTCCTCTCTTTCAAGCAGAAGTCTGTAATTTCTTTGGGAAAATGTTCATTTAGCTGATCTGGCTAATGTTGGGTTTCTTGAAAAATGGCACATATTAATGTCTGGGGCCTATACAAGTCCTGAAAAAGGTTCACTTAAACCTTTTTGTTTCTACAGAATATTAAGCAGTTCATTTGTCAACTTGAAGTCATTCACATAGCAGTCATTCCAAATCCATTTATAGATTCATCCTAATTGAAGATGGAAATAGTGTGCTGTGAAAACGGGCTTGGTTTAAAATAGGAAATGAGAGGCACCATGAGCTAAAACAGGGTTCCCAACCAAGAGTTTATTAAAAAAATGGCAAAGTCCTTCATGAGATTGATAGAAATGCTAATGATGATGATCTTTGTTGTAATATTTTAAGTTCATTTTGACATGGAAATTATAAATGGGTTCTAGAAATGTCTTATACTTTTACCAGCAAAGGAAGCAAATGGAGCATTTGGCAACAATCATACCGTTTTTCAGTTGTTTTTTAATATATACACTACCGTTTACATGTTTGGGGTCAGTAAGTTTTTATTTTTTGAAAGAACTGAATACTTTTGTGACATTAAAGACATTATAATAACACAAAAAAAGTACTTATTTCAAATAAATGCTGTTCTTTTGAACGTTTTATTCCTGAAATAATCCTGAAAAATAAATTACGGTTTCCACAATAATATTGAGCTAAAAAACTGTTTTCAACATTGAGACTAATAAGAAGAAAAACTTATTGAGCACCAAATCAGCAGCATATTAGAATGATTTCTGAAGGATCACGTGACACTGAAGGCTAAAGTAATGATGCTGAAAATTACAGGTAATGGAAAATGACATTGTAAATTGTAATACCGTATTATTAATACCGTATACTATAAAATAACTGTTAGTACTGTATTTTTGATCAATTAATGCAGGCAGCCTATGTGAGCATAAGAGACTTCTTTCAATAACACAAAATATCTTGCCGATTTCACACATTTGAACAGAAGTGTATACGATAACATTTGTCATTTACTGCTTTCAGATAACCTTGCCTCTGTTCTCTCCTCTGTTAATAGTGTATAAGTCTCCAGAGTATGAATCTCTTGGCTTTGATCTGACTGTGGAGCGACTGGTTTCCATTGGTTACCCACAAGAGCTGTTAAATTTTGTCTATGACCCTGCATTTCCCACAAGGTGATTTGAAAGTTAATTTTCCCAACATGCTACTTTTCTGTATTTCAAGTGCGTGTTTTGATTTACACACATTTTTTACATCTTTCAGAGGCTTGGTGTTTGATACAATGTATGGAAACCTGTTGAAAGTAGATGCATATGGAAACATCCTTGTGTGCGCTCATGGTTTTAACTTCATGCGTGGGTGAGTCGGCACTCATGATTCAAGAGCTACTGATTAGTGAAGCGTGGTGCTTCCTTTGTTTGTGTTTATTTGTTGACAGATAATAAAATCTTAATTTTTATGATTTAGTTTTTATTAGAACCCCTTTTTATTTGCAAGAAAATGCACTGGTGCGTTATTCCCAATGTGCATTAAGCAAATTTATAGTGTAATTTCATGTAGACTTTTCTTGGTCTCACCTTCAGCAAATGTGTGTGTTGTGTATTTGTATTTTTTGTTTTAGTCCAGAGATAAGAGAGCTGTACCCAAACAAGTTCATTCAGCGTGGAGATACAGAGCGGTTCTACATCCTCAACACACTCTTCAACCTCCCAGGTCAAAATCTTTTATCAACTAATATCAAAAAGCAAAAGAATATATTGAAACTATAGTATATTATGTATAGTCAACAAGTTAAGTTTTTTTTTTGTGTTATTAGAGACATACCTCTTTGCCTGCCTGGTTGACTTCTTCACTAGTTGCTCCAGATATACAAGGTTTGTTTTTGTGCCCTCCTTTTAATGCTTCGGTTGAATATCTGAATTCCCATTTTATAAATAATTATTTTCTGCCTCCTCAGTTGTGAGATGGGCTTTAAAGATGGAGATCTTTTCATGTCCTACAAGAGCATGTTTCAGGATGTCAGAGATGCTGTGGATTGGGTCCATTTCAAGGTAAAGGCTATTTTTAGGTGTCAAAATATTCATTTATTTAAAAAAAGAAACCCCTTTCTGCACTCAATATGAATGTCATACTTTGAATAATCACTTCTGTGTGATATTTTAGGGCTCACTAAAGGTGAAAACGGTTGAAAACCTGGAGAAATATGTTGTAAAGGATGTAAGTCCTCTTGCAGGCCAGCATTTTTTGTTACCTTATGTAGCTTTGTATGGTTTTTTATAATAAATTATAGTTTATAGTTTACTGGCGTAATGTTTTGCTTACATGTCTTTTTTGTCTTCTTCATTTAGGCCAAATTGCCATTGCTTCTAAGCCGAATGAATGAAGTTTCCAAAGTGTTCCTTGTTACCAACAGTGACTACAAGTACACAGATGTGAGTTTATCAACCATCTGACATTCATCATTTAAGATGTGACCAAATATGTTGGACTTATATTAGAAATTATAATTTCTTCTCCTTTATTCTTTCAGAAAATCATGACATACTTGTTTGATTTTCCACATGGTCCAAAAGTAAGTGTTGTTTTTATTTATCATACTGGTACACTAGCATACCAGTGGTACTTTGTTCTTTTTATTTGTCTCAGATCCCCAATGAAAATGTCCAGCGACAAAGAACCGTACACATTTCACATATCATTTGTGTAGCAAGCTGCATTGTGTAGAAAACCCCCCTAAGGGTCAATTCGCCGGCTATTATGTGTCTAGAACACCATCAGATTTTTCATTAAAAAATATGCTATTAACAAATACTGGGAAAAGGAATATGAACATAAAGACAAGGAGTATCATAGCACAGGCCATATATGAACTCATTGTGTTGCGTTTGTACTGCATACACAAAGACAGTTAGGGCCAATCCCAATTCTACCCCTTACCCCTTCCCCTCCGTTTTGCGCGTCCACGTGAAGGGGTAGGGTTGTCCCAATTCTCTTTTGGTTGGAGGGGGAGGGCTAGGGGGAAGGGCCAGATAGCCCTTGAAACGAAGATTTTTCGGGAGCACACTTCAAACGAAGGGGTATGAGAAGTGTCACTGCTAACCCAGGCTGGCTGCCCAAGCGACAAAGGAGACCCATAAATTTAAGTATTTGTGGCTTTAATAAGTATTGTAACGACAAATAATGATTTGCTTTATGGTACATATTGTGTTCATATTTACGGTCAGTTTCTTCACAGAAACGTTTGTAAAAAAAAAAAAAAAAAAAAAAAAAAAAAAAAATCGCTAAAATTACTGTAGTTTGCTAACGATAGTCCTGCAACATATTTTCGTCGTCTCCGTTGTTTCCTGCGAATTTCACAAGATAAATGCAAGAAAATAGCTGTAACCCACGCGACTGAGATAACTGCAGCTGTCGACGGCATCTTGGACGTTGTGATAAACATCAGCGCATCTCCTGTGACGTAGGCGCTAGCGACGACTTATAATGACGTTTAACGGAGGCGTAGTGGTGTCCCATTTCTTAGGGGAATATTTTCACCCCTACGCATTGCCACTCTGTTTCAAGGGTCAAGGGGAAGGCGAAGGGGTAGGGCTAGGGGAAAGTGAAGGGGTAAGGGGTAGAATTGGGATTGGCCCTTACTGATTGAATGTATTATTTCTTTATTACAGGCAGGTACACCCCATCAGCCCTGGCAGTCCTACTTTGACCTTATTCTGGTGGATGCCAGGAAGCCAGTGTTTTTTGGAGAGGGCACAGTGCTCAGACAGGTGGACACGGTAAGCTCCGCTAGACTCACTTGAGTAGATTCCTGTGATGAACTTGTTCCTGTGATTGATTCAGCCACGTGTCTGTTCTGTAGACCACTGGGAGATTGAAGATCGGGACATACACTGGTCCTTTGCAGCATGGCATTGTGTATTCTGGTGGTAAGAGAAAAAATTAATGTCAGTTTTCATATTTATTTAACAGTCCTTGTCTGAACTGCTTGATTAAATGTGTTTACTGTTCCTTCTCAGGTTCCTCAGATATAGTTTGTGACCTATTGGGAGCAAAAGGAAAAGAAATCTTGTACATCGGTGACCACATTTTCGGAGACATCCTGAAGTCTAAGAAGCGCCAGGGCTGGAGAACGTTCCTGGTCATTCCTGAGCTGGCTCAGGAGCTGCACGTGTGGACCGACAAGAGCTGTGAGTCATTATATTATAGACCATTTCACAAGATGTAAACAACACTGGTCCAGAAGAACTTCCTGTTTCAGTTTTTTAACACTACAAGAAAGCTGGGATAAAATACAACCAACAGAACATTTAAAACTGAATTAAAAAGTTAAACAAACACCTTTAAGAGGTTTTCTCTACATGTGAAATAAAGAAAACAGTTGCAAACTGAAACAGGAAGTGCTTCTGGACCAGTGTTGTTTACATCTTGTGAAATGGTCTATAGTTAGCTAAAACTAAAATCATTAAAAAAATGTTTCTACTTGAAATCAAATAAACGGTAATTAAAATCAAATAAGTTTCATTGTTTTATTTATTGTTTTATTTGCCAAAGCAACATTTTATTTTGTGTAACTTGATGTACTAAAATAACTAAAACTGAAATTAAAAGATACAGACATTGTAATTTTTTGTAGTACTGTAAAATAAAATAATAATGATTACAATAATTATTAATATTGTTATTGTAAATAATAATAATAACAAATCTATTAATACTTTTATGACAAAATAAATAGAATTATAATTATTATTGTTAATAATAAAAAATAAATAGAAAATCTATTTCTTTATAACATATTACATTATAATATAATATATTATTATTAAACACTTTTTAATAGTACAGTAGTGTATTCCTGCTATAGTGAGATATTTCTTTATTATTTTAATGAAATAATAATTGGGGGTGGGGATGCAGAAGTACATAGTTCACTGAGTTCTCTCTTTGTTTTGCAGCACTGTTTGAGGAACTACAGAGTCTGGACATTTTCCTGGCAGAGCTCTACAAGTAAGTATCATCCATGAACTGCCACCATCCAGTGCTCGTGTGTGCTGGCATTCATGGGACACGACACTGACACTCCCTCCCTGCTGTCTGCTCTGCAGCCATTTGACATGCTGAAAAAGGGGTGTATATTCTTTTCTATTTAAAGGCTAACAGTTCATGGCTTCAATTACATTTAACTCCTTTGACACCATTCTCATCCTGCACCTCTCTGTTTCCCCTGCCATTTTCTCCATCCTTTCTTTTTTTGTTCACAGGCATTTGGACAGCAGTAGTAATGAGAGACCTGACATCAGCTCTCTTCAGAGGAGGATTAAGGTATATTTCTTTATACAAACAGAAGCAGTACGCTGTGCACTGACAATCCTGTCAGTAACATCGTGTTACTGTAGTGAAAAATCCATTTCCATGAGGAAAAAAATTATAATGTGTATATAATGTGTAATAATTTATAAAGGCTTTACACATTTATAATGTGCATGAAAGTTCCAAAGCATCCATTTTTAAAAAGATGCATGAAAGACAAATACTTTTAAAAACTTTATAAAAGCGGTATGTGTAGCAAAAAAAGGAGCACATCAAAGAATACATTTATTATTTATTTTGATGAAATTTTCTTTTTTGGATGCCAGATTTAGGTTTTATTGAAGTCCTAATGACACTAATCATATTTTAATTTTGAACAGAGAGTGAAATAATATATTATTATTTTTAGAAATATTCAGTAGAATGAGTAAATATTCAGTAAATATCAAAGTAATTACACTAAATATTATTATAATTTAAAATAACTGTTTTCTATTTTAGTAGATTTTTAAAATATGATTTATTCCTGTGATCGCAGAATTTTCAGCATCATTACTTCTGTGTCACACGATCCTTCTGGAATCATTCTAATATGCCGATTTGCTGCTCAAGAAACATTTTTATGATCAATGTTGTGATGATGATAATAATAAAAAACAGTCGTGCTGCTTAATATTTTTGTGGATGAACATTTTTTTCAGGAAAATTGACATTAAAAAAACATTTTTTGTCACATACATCAAACGTCTCCTCACTATCGGCTAGCGGCTTGTTCCACTAAACACACTGTAAAAAAACGCGGTCTCTGTAGACACCACAGGCTCCACAAACGGCAACAAAAACAATCATGTCTCACCCGGACCACAAAACCTAACAAACAGTGTTCCAGCCAATCACTGGCAAGAAGTATTTGAGGGTGGGTCTTGGGGGTTAGTGCGCGTGCACATGAAGGGTGTGTGTGTGTGTGTGTGTGAAGGAGAGAGAAGCATAAGAGGGAAGTTTGAAAAATGGCCGAAACACGACCAAAGAGACGTCGTTCTGAGGAACAAATTAAAAAGAAGAAGGAGTCGGATAAAGAACGTGTGAAGTTCCGAATTTACATCGGTAGCAAAGCTTTTGAACGATGGCGAGAACGATGTCCGGGTAACGTTAAATTGTTTTTTTTTCTTCTAAATTGACGCTTATGTTCGCCAAACCCACACAAGGATATAATTAGCTATAAATGCACGTTCACAATTATTTCAGGAAGGACGGAAGGGAGGGGGAGGAGATGAGATGCGGAGGAGGGAGGGTCTAGCTAGCCTCCGATTTGTTTGAAAATATTCCGAACGTCAACACCCAGGATCGCTCAGAGAACCTTTAAATAGAAATAATATTATACATGTTTCTACTGTCGATTATGATCAATTTAATGCATCCTTGATGAATACAAGTTTTTTTTTTTTTTTTAAAGTTTTACTGACCATTACCTAAATCAAACTGTGTCTGTATCTCTAATTTTCTCAGAAAGTGACCCATGACATGGACATGTGCTATGGGATGATGGGAAGTCTTTTCCGCAGTGGCTCTCGTCAGACTCTGTTCGCATCTCAAGTGATGCGTTACGCTGACCTGTACGCTGCGTCCTTCATCAATCTCCTGTACTACCCCTTCAGCTATCTGTTCAGAGCTGCCCACGTCCTGGTAAGCTCAACAAACACAATGTCTACAGTTGATACATTGGTCATAAAAGTCAAGAAACCTTTAGTTGACATTTTTTTGTCTGTGGTTTACAATCAGATGCCTCACGAGTCGACCGTGGAGCATGCTCACGTGGACATTAACGACACGGAGTCGCCCATGGCCACGCGCAACCGCCACTCCATCGACTTCAGAGACCTCGAGTGCAAGAGACACCAGCTGACCCGTTCCATAAGCGAGATCAACCCTCCACACCTCTTCCCTCAGACGCCACAGGAGATCACACACTGTCACGATGAGGATGATGATGAGGAAGAGGAGGAAGAATAAGCCTGTGACATTGCGTAGAAATGTGTCTATGGTTTAAACAAGTGTGAGCATTGCATTCACACTCAGCCATATATATTGTAGATATATAAGAGAGGAGGATAATTTCTCACGAAACGTATTACTTTTTTAGAGTTAAAGGTTTGATGAGAGTCTGAAGCTAAAACTGGGTTTTGATACTGTAGTTCTAGCTTCTTATTTTTGAATGAGATTTACAGATGGCCTCATTTTAAAATGCATTGAAAAAAATTCAAACGGTAACAGGAAGAACAGATTCCTGTTTAAACTGAATTACAGAATCAGTTAAAATTATATTTGCATGATATTGAGGGAACGTTACAAGGTACGTCACTGATTTAAGCTTGATAAAATAGCATGGATATTTCATGACGTATTGTAGACTGCCTTCAAACTTTGGAGATGAGCCATGTAGCATGCTGGGAAATGCCACGCCAACAATACACCTTGCTCAGTATCTGTCTTACTGCCTCTTCAAGCACTCTAACATTGCCATCTTCATTTCAAAACTGGTAGTATGCAAATTGCTGTCATATTATTCGGTGAAAAATGGAACACATGCAACCGTTGCCAATTTATGCAGAGTGAGATACAGGAACTGAAGTGTTATAACTGGAAGATGCAGACAACACTGAAACACTGACTAATGCACTTTCCATGATCACTGTGTTATCATTAAACCTTGAATCTAGAGCTTAGATTCGTTATTTACTATTTTTATATCCACTGATACAGTTAATTCAACCAGATATATTTAAAACATTTTGCTTGATATTAGTGTAACGGTTAGCTTTTTGACAGTTGGCAGTGATTTAAGATTGTGAGTTGGTCTGAATGCATGGCACAAAGACTTGCGGGTGGCATTGGACCAAAAGGGGGCTCATCCATGGGTCACACTCTGACATAATGAACATTTGTAACCCATACAGTAACAGTCTAGATGGTGTTCTGATCAACATCAGAAGTGGTTTTGTCTTTTGTTATTTTTATTTTTTTTTTATCAAAAAGGGAATTTATGATGTGTCCGTGTTGCTTTTGGAATACTTTAACATGTGCACTCCTATATTTACAACTGTATTGGTTTATTTTGAACAGTACTGTTGAATTTGGACTGAAAGGTGAGGGCCATCATGCCAATGTAATATGTGAATGGATGCTTTAACCAGTGTCTTTCATTTAAATTCTCAGTAGCTCTTGAAGATTATTGATTCTGTGACTGTATTGTGTAATAGTGACATTTGAGTTCGCTTTAATCTAATCAAACACCCCTCTGTTTATTTTTAGGCATTTCTATTCAGGTTAAATCTACTGTAAAGTGGGGGTGGGATTTTTGATTCATCTGTGCCTTTTATCGTTTCAAATTTCTTGATTTGTTTGATTTTGTTTGTGCCCACGGCCTGTGAATCCCTGTTTTCAAAATAGTTTTCTTTTAATATTGTGTCATGTTTTTGCAGGATTTTTATGTTCGTTTAGTTTGCTATTATTTACTACAAAGCGAACTTTGTACTTCTAGAACTTTGTTGATATTAATGTAGTTTAAATATAGAAATACATCAAAACCCTTTTAACTCAGATGTGTTAAATTTTTAATGTTATGTTTTACATTGTTTGCCACACACAGGATTGGTTTTCAGTGCGTTGGCTTGTTGCATATGAAGATCCTGTCATGCAGCGCTCCCTGGTGGTCAATATCTGCATTTTGCACCTTCAAAAAACAACATGAAAAATTTTGTCCTCACTAAATAAACCCTGTAGATTTATTTAAATACTATCATCTCATACATATAACTTCTGATAGGAAAACTCCTACAAATGCATAAATGAAAGAAGGTCAGTCGCAAAAATAAATGTCCATGCCTCTTCAGCGCAATTTTTTCACTTTGTGTCCTAGTAAATTATGATGTTTAAATCAATACTGGTTTTAGCACCTATAATATATGTGAACATTTTAGACCATTTTTACAATCACAATATAAATTCATATTTTTATACTAAGCATTATTAGAGAGCCCCCTCTGGCACCCTTAAGCCTTTTGAATTATTGTTTTGCAGTGTTTTTTTAAGGGAGGGGGGGGGGGGGGCTGCTTTTTTTCTTTGCATGATTGTGTTTATGGGGTGCAATATAATATGTATTCGTGGTTTCTCTTTTTTAAAAAGTCTTATTTTTCATAAACTTCACCTTTATTGTCAGCCGCGCTCTCCTCTGTTCCCTGAACGACCTGATTCTATGAAACCACTCCCTCAGAAACAGGCAGTGGGCTCAGATTGGTTAGTTTAGGCCGGTGTGTGGTGATCAGACCGAGATAGCGGCGATTAAGAGAGTCCAGCAGAACCTCATCACACACGGCTCTTACTAAACGTTAGTGATGGCCAAATGAAGCTTTTGTGAAGCATTGAACCAATTGAGCCAATTGGTTAAAAAATGGGTTCATTACTCGAAGCTTCAGTTGCAGCGACCTCTCCTGGCGAAAAGCAAGGCTGCAATTAATCAGTCAAATTAATCAGTGAGCAGTATTGGAGAAACTACTTTAGTTCTGAAGCATCTTTGCTAAGATCACCCTTGGATTTTTAACTATATTTCCTTTGAAAACTCTTTGATGCACACGCTAATGCTGAGCATAATGTTCTATTTACAAATAAAAGTTTGATAAATGTATGTTTTGTGTTATTTAGGAGAGAGTGCTGGGAAAATATGGCATAGGTTGGGTGTGCTTGTGTAAATGGCAGGGGGTGATTTTTGGGATGGGGAACACTCAAAGATTTTTATTGAGGTACATTATTTTTTCAACAGTTTTTGGACTGAGTCGGTTTCTTTTTTTGCTCACAACCTCACCAGACTTGGAAAACACTCGCTCACAAGGAACAGATGATGCTGGCGAGACGCGCTGTTCCAGTGAATCACCTGATTGGACCGCAAACCAGTCAAATGATTCATTCAGGCAATGAAGCACTTGCTGCTTCGGACGTCATATGTCACATGATTTTTTTTTTTGCACCAAAGCAAGCTTTGAAGCAGTGGTTCTCTAGGTTTGTAGTTCAGGGTTTCGAAGCACGTATCGAAGCTTCAGCGTCACACTGCCATCACTACTAAACGTTTCTGAATGATATTTTGCTACTTTTTTTTTTTTTTTTTTTTTTACTTTATACACATTTGTTTAACACAATAGCATCTGACTGGCAACAATAGCAACTGACTGGCTACTAATGTTATACTCAAACAGCGTGGCAATTAGTTTAAGTTCTTGATCAAATCGAAAATAACGTCATAAAAAATATACATGAAAAATACGTTTAAAACATTAGTACTTATACAAAATTCAGGTCCATAATGTTTGCACCAGTCTATGGTTTGTACGCGTTTGTCGTGGACACAAAATAGCATAACTGATAGCCTAGTGCAGTGGTTCTCAAAGTGGGGTCCGCGGACCCCTGGTGGTCCGCGAGCTAAAGCCAGGGGGTCCGCGAAATAATTTACAACCTAACGTTTTTTTCCATGCTATGAGTCATGTTTTCTTTATCATCTGAAAACATGCTGTTTATTCCTAAGTAACTTATAAAGCATTTAACATAAAACAATACAAAGTAGACACTTAAAGTTTTCTATAGATAGATAATCTATGTCTTTGCGTCAAGTAGACTATTCGCTGCTGTTGATTTGCGGGACGTGCGCCAGAAAGGAGACAGAGAGACGGCATGAACCCGCATCCGGTTCTTTTCTGTATTTTTAAAAGGCATGACATTTTGTAGTCATTTATAATGTAGCCTATACACAAATAAAAAAAATGGACACTTTACCGTTTCGGATGATGTACTCTTGTCTTATCTATGACCATTCCTGTTTCCACTGCTGAGGAAAAATTCCCATGTAATCGCGCGCCGGCGTCTCGCGTGCGCGCACAATAGTCAGTTCTAGCACTGCTACTGTAGATTTGACATTAGAAGTCTGATCATTATCAAAATAAAAGTGCATAGTGACAGGGCCGTACCCACAACTGAGGTTGCAAGGATGCACATCGCGATGATAACTGACCTTCTCGTCTGAGGTGCTTCAGCAGACTAACAACGATAGCTCGTCAATGTCAAAATGTTTGAGTCGGAGTGAACTCAAAGTTCCCCGCACGACGTTTCAGTCAACGGTCATAAAGTGCGAGATAAGATGTAGGCCTTAATTAACATAAACTAAACAGCTGTTTTAGATAAAAGTTTTAAAAAAACGACTGAAACAATCAGTTTGCAAAGTATTAATCAAGCTCAACTTTAACAAAGGAAAAAGCAGGTCAATAGAAACATACTGTGCCCATGAGATTAACATTATAGATTCATATATTTAACATATACTGTATGTTTTTTTTTAGCTAATTACAGTAGCTCAAATTAACAACGCACGCACCTATTAAACATAATGCCATTATCATTGTATTTATAGGCTTATTGGCTTTATTTGTGTGCAGAATAGGCCTAATTATTGAAACATTTCTCTTTTAAGGCCATTCCTGATTGGAATATGTGATTGTGTTTCGTGACATCTTGACAAAAAAAAAAAAAAAAAATGTATGCCACTGACTGACATGCTTCTACTAAATCTATAGTTATTCAATTGTGGGGCCTTAAAACACCTTAAAATGCACATGTGTAGATCAAGAACATCAAAAATTCCTAAGTGAGGGATCCTAAGTGATTCCTAGCAAGATCACTTTCGTTACCTCAGTAGGCTATTTAGAAATTCCTGCATAGTACCCTGGGTGGAGACCATTCATTTTGAGCAAAAATATTTCATTTGCCGCTCACACATTAACTTTGTGCTCAATAACTGTTATAAATATGAGGGGGGTCCTTGGAATTTTTTTTCCCCTGAAAGGGGTCCCTGGCACCAAAATGTTTGAGAACCCCTGGCCTAGTGGCTATGAAGCCACCGCTGGCATTTGAAAAAAATAAAACACAAGGCTACGTCTGGAATTATACATGCAAATACATTTAAAATGATTAAGTCTTAGCCTACTTACAGGTTGTGGCACAACAACTGCTGCCTCTGGTTTTAAAGCTGGAACTGCTTCGTGTTTTTTAGTAACAGTTTTATTGTTGAATTCGTGGAGATTCTGGAAGCTGTCTTCCGTAAATGCGCAGCACAGAGAGCTAAATTACGATCGTCATAGGAACATAATAAAACCTGAATCAAACACAAGTGAACTACTTGCACTGAGCTTCGCGACGCACTTCCGTTTGGAAACAATACAGATCACTTATTTCCGGTTACGTTTACTTTCAATGTAGGCTACTGCGGTCTAGTCTCGCGTAGCCAGACTTTTACGCGTTTGCGTTAACACGCTCCATTGGAGAGATATATACAGATGTTTATTCGCCTCTGCCATAACGACCTATTGGTTTTCATTAAACCGAGAAAATGGAATTTTGTTTTATTTACGATCACTGAGAAATGTTCTATTATTTAAAATGCAAAAAAAAAAAACTTGTATTATTTTCAAGGTGAAAATGATTCATTTGCCTGGATCCACCCTGAAGAAAACGTCTAAATGTCACGTTTTTAATGAAGCAGCCTAATGAGTAAAATGTCTATTTTTCCGGCGTCCCCCAGCTCCTCGAATCGGTCCCTGGGGTCTATATGACCCCAATCGACTTTTCCTTGATAAAAAAAAATGGTTTCCTTTATCTGAGTGGAATAAGATTTTGTGACTTTTCCTACAAAATCTATCTATACACACACAAAAAAACTGGGCTTGATTCGGTTGTTCTGAAGGTGTGTAAAAAAAATGTTTACAAATCTGGTCTTCGGGGTCAATATGACCCCACATTGAAATGAATGGGAAATGTGAAAAAAACTAAATATTTTGTATTCATTTGTCCAAAAAAAAATATAAATCCATCATAAATCAGAAAATTTCCACACAGAAATAAAGGCCTACTACTAGAGCATAAATGTGATGTAGAAAAAACATGCTCACTCACACACACACACACACACACACAAAAACACACACAAACAAACATGTATTAGTGTACTGCCACAGAGAGCATTTTTTAGAACTCACAAATGAAATCAGTCACAAATGAAGAACAAAGATATTAAAGTGTGAGACCTAATACACACACACACACACACACTCACACACTGATTATAGTTTTACAATTTGTTTTACATGTTTTTTGTAGCTTGTTATTGCTTTTAAGTTCAGAATTTTATTGGAAAAAATGATAGATTAGATGTTCACTCATATTGCTTTTGTTTTCATATTATTTATTTTATTTATTTTGCATTCTAAAGTTAATTATTTATTTTTACACTTTGTTCAATAAAATCAACAATGTGCAACTAAAATCTGACTCCAAGTCTTGTCCTTTAGGTGTGTCTTATGTGGCATTTAGCTGTCCTTTTTCTGTGGCACTTTGTAAAAACAGACGTTTCAAAATGCATCAAAAACTACAACAATTATACTATTTAAAAAATTTATAATTTTAAATGTCCTTTCTTATGTTTATATATATATAAAAATTCATAAAATGTATTTCAAAAGTTGTGACAGAAGTAGTAGGCCACATGCAGTAAAATGAATGGCTCTCTATTGCCTCTGCTGGTCAAAACTATTTATTTCTAAAACTGTAAAGAATTTAGTTTTATCTCTAACCAGGAGATGGCGTAAT